GGAGGACACACAAACGGGCATACAAACAGACACGCAAAGTTAGCGCTTTATATATATAGAGGATTTTGGAAGTCAAAATCCATATCCTGTCCTTTTATGGGTAAGCAAATGAGTTATAGATAGACCAACTAAAGTTTGTTCCAGGTGATTCTCTCAATTACCGCATGTGTCGTCCCATTTATGGCATGTGGTACGGCTCTAGGAGCAATATTCCTTATGGGTGTGACATTTTCACCAATTCTTCGAATCACACCCTTCTTGGTAAGTTTCTCGAGATTTACAGCCCAGACGTTTTGATGGAAACTTGCAAAATTGTTATGTGAATTGTGAAAGAACACGCATTAGCTGCAGTAAATTTACAGACAACACCCTTAATTCTATGGGTCATCGTTGTTCCAGTAATTATTGAACGGCTAGGGTTACGGTAGGCAATTAGAAACTAGCTGATTTTATTGTCTCCAAGTGACGTCAATAATAATTACATGTTCTTGACAAGCACATCAAAGTTATGAATCATAAACGGGAATAGAGGTGATCGCCCAGATTGGTCAAACTGGAACATGTTCAGGTGCTAGCAATCAGTGTTGACGACTCGTTTCTGATGATTCATGCTTGGAATAGAATAGGAAAAAATCGCAACGAAAAAATGCAATCCCGCTCCCAGATGATTGCACAGGTATTATTTCTATGTCTATTGATCCCTAGACTTATTGAAAATCGGCTGGCAATCCATGCCGGTGCCCCGCCCATTGGGCGGGGCAGCGATCGATTCGTAGTTTTAGCGAAGGACTCTGATTCTTCATGGTCCCTAGTCGCTAAGTGTAAACAGAAAGAGCAGAAGAGGCAAAAACATTTGTCAAGTCTATTCAATGACTGGGAAGCCTCAATAAATGATCCTAACTGGAAGGTAGCAATGTCGTATTTGTAGGTGCTCGTAGAGACGGGTCCAGCTATTGCAATCTCTGCCTTTACAAATACGTTGGCTTTTGCCATTGGATCGATTTCCTCTCCCTTTGAAATCCGTGTTTTCTGTATAGGTAATGCTGCCTGTATATTTATGGATATGTTCTATCAACGTAAGTTTTATCGCTTCTCAGAAATCAACGCACACTAGTTTTCTGTATTGGTTAAAGGGTACAACAGCTTGGATAGAGATCCCTGATCACAGAAAAGAAACCCAGGAACGTTGTTAAAGAAACAGTGAAGCAAAATTCTGCTCTGACATCTAATTTTGAGCGCCGAATAAATTGACTCAAGCTATTTATTTATTTTCTGCAAACGTTGCTCCACTTTACACGTTTAAGTCATGCAGACACGTCCATTAAGAGGTGGAGTCCAATCGAAAACCCCCTACCCCTCTACCTCAGCATAGCTGACAGACTATTGTACCCTTTGTTTCGATGCCTTGCTACAGTCATTTCACTATAACGTTCATCGACTATTTTCAGTTACATTTTATGCGGCTATGATGGCAATTTTTGCCGACTCGCCAAAGGATCCCAGTGAGAAAGAGGTGATAGTCAAATCAGATTGTATCACCCCATAATGATCACCATCATATGGTTTTTAGAAATGCTCACGGCTCAAAGAATTCACTCAGAGGCTTCTTCGATGGTATACAGGTGTTGTAGCCAACTTCAGGTTCTCATTAATGGTGGCACTTGTTTGGGTTTTATTTGTAGCTGGAGCTATAATGGTAAGTGAAGTGCGATCAATTTCTAGGGATTTTTGTCTTCAGCCCGCTGATCGCCCTTTATTATAGGGCTCACTTTATGTGACCGTGGACCTGTCGTCCCGCAAAACGTTCTTACCCGACTCCAAACTGCTTGAGGTCAGTGGAACAGCTGGCGGCCATCCTTTGGACGAGTTATTCCTCAGTCTTCTTTTTAGATTGACCGGATCCGCAATAAATATATGGTTCCTTCATACACTCCTGTAACAGTCGTGGTCAGCAATCCGGGTAATTTGTCAGATGCAGAAAATGTGCAAGGGCTTATTGAAATGAGGAACTCTTTCGAAAGCCTCCCTCATGCTATTGGACCTGATAGCACCAAATTTTTAGTGAGGTAAAAGTTTTCATTATTAGAAAATCGTCAAAGGATAGATGGAGCGTATTAATCACGAGGGCGGATTCAGAGCCTGCTGTACACCCAAGTTTATCCCTTGATTGTCCATGGATGCATTCATAGTTCGGATTGGCATACTGCCAGAGTGCGTCTGCGTTAGCAACCAGTCGCCGTCCTATCTGGATCACCAATATCGATTCATCGCAGGCGGGGCGTGGTCAGCGGAAACCGCGCGTCGCCAAGGGTAAACGTAACCTTAATTGGGCTACTATTTTTCCCGTCTATGGGAGTGTTGAATGCTCTCTGGGATCCCACAATTGCGCTTAATATTTGTAAAGCGTGAGGGAAGCTTGCAAATGTAGAAGCAACTTCTTCCCATTTGTCCTTAGAAAGCACTAAGCTATACTTTTCAAACTACTGTAAAAAACTATGATTTCTAAACCCATCGTGAAACTGTTTAGCGATTACGTGAAATACAAAGAAGCACTTCAAGCTGAGTTGGAAGAGGATCCAAGTGCCGGATCCCTTGATGCATTTCTTCATTGGCCTGAATACTCGTACTATAATGGTTTCATTAAACGGAAAAATTCCTCGTAAGTCTTCCAACGTCATCCTGGAATCCTTCCTTTACAAAAGCCAAGTTTGCAGAGAGTCAGATGATGAGGTCGAGCAGTTCATGTTCGTTACTGGCTATCAGGGAGATGAGTTGGTATTATGGAGCGAAAAACGCCGAATGCTTAAGTTATGGCGACATGAAGTCGATCGATTCGCAGAGTAAGCTTTCCTTATTTTAGCCATGAACGATACTAATAATGTCTAGATTTTTTGTGCAATTTACTCAGCCCATCAAGATTAGTAACTTGACTTTTCCTTACTGTATGCCCATAATATTTACTGGTTACGGTAGCTCCGTAAGATTGCACGCTCTAATGACAGTAGGGAAGGGTGCTCCTGTTAAGAAGTGAATGTAAATCTTTTTCCTCGAACTCAGTTACAGTTCTCTAGCAATGCTCCGTATTTCAGACGTTTCAACGCGAGCGTTTACTCTGAGGACGGCTTCTTCATCGATCTACTGGAGGTATGTGAATAATTTGATGACTATTGTTGAAAAACGTATGTAAAAAAGAGAAGATGACAATCTCGTGAGCAAGTTTTTTGGTGGGTGTGTTTAGCGAGGCCTTCAATGTCAATGGACACACTACTGATTTGTATCATAAAATCGGTATCACATTTACATCTACGGCATCAAATCATTGGAAGTAGCGTACGTCCGAGAGGTTAATGTGTTGTCCGAATGGAACCGATTCCGACTATTCAAGTTTCATGTGACAAAACACTGTAGAAGTTTATGAGAGTTTTTTTTNTTTTTTTTCAAAATACCGATCTTCATACTGCCTCAGAGACAGTTCACGATGATTTCGGTGTGTCTACTTTTAAACGAATAATGAATGTGACAGCTCAGAATAGTGCGAAATTGACGAAGCTCAGCGTATTCAAAAAATATATATAGGCTTCAAAAAAGTAGTAAAATTAAGGTTGGTTGAGAATGTGACAACAAAAGTTGCATGGAAGTTGTATTTGGACGAGCTGTCCGAATGTGTGTGCCATTGCGTACAGATGGCTACAGTAAGCTTCTTGCGTGCAACGTGTGTGCCCGGCAACCTTTTCAGCCTACTCATCCGTCTTGGATGTGTACGCTAAGCCGGTTTTGGGGCCCTTATTATGCCCTACGTGGTCGATTTTGGACCCGACAGCGCCATTTATGCTATCCTTGGGGATCACAGGATCATTCTAAGGAAAAATCTCAGAAACCATTTCAATCGTGAACTGTTGTGCCTCTAACATCGAAAGAAGTAAAAGTTTTCTGAGCTGATCAACTACTCTGTGGTGCCGATTTGATCCATACCCATTTGATATCGGAAGGCTAACCTAAGGGTTAAGTGGTGCATAGTGATTTCGGTAATGCGCCAGCACGAACTTTGAATAAATGCTTATTTAACCAGATAATTGGGTTCACTAGGAACTTTTACATCAATTTTTCTTGATCTTAAGTTGGGAGGAAGTTTAGTGACATGGGTTTGATTTTATCTTCGTGTTACAAGTGTACTAGCAGGCATATCCTTACTATTCACTACTGTGAGCTACTACTGATTTTGGAAAGTAGCATACCGAGTCAACAAAGTCCATGGGAGCATTCAATAAGTCTTTTCGAGATAGGCCATGAGTTCAACTCCATCCGTAATCGTAGGAGTACTTGGAGACGCACTTGGTCAATACATATATGGAATCTTTAGAAACTGAGTTATCAGATGAAGCCTCTGGTGGCCTCATCCAATCCGAGCCCATTTGAACCTATTAAGGTTGCTCTTAAGAAGTGGTCAAAGTGGTAGAAACTGTACGAAAGTGTCTTTCAGGCAATTCCAGTGATTACATGGCAATCAGCTTTGGCGACGTTTGTTTGTGTTATTATCGTCTGTGCATTGTTCATCAACGATCTGGCTACCATAATCTTCGTTTCGATGTCGATCTTTGCCACCTGCATTGGTAAGAAGATGTGTTTCAATTAAGGACTCCCTACTCATTGATGTGCACTAGTTGAGCCACTTCCTTTGACCCAATTTTTTTCTGAACATCGTCTTCCCACTCCTCAATACTGTTAGATTACCTTCCCATTTGCCATTCCTTGGTTAAAAAAGGAGTTCTTAAAGTGAGGAGGGGAGAAGAGCATATGAGAACACTGAAATTCAAGCTCAAATTTCCTCGCTTTCCGTACAAGGGAAGAATAAAACGTCAGCCGTTGTCAGGATACGCCATGTGTGCTGCTCTTGGAGAAAATCTGTGAGCATACATGGTTTTCTAGCCCCGTACATAAGGTGACCGGCTTTGCTGGTAAAGCTTCTCCTTTGCCGGCGTATTACAACTAACACTTAAATGACTGCTTTACCTTACCCAGATTTCGCTTGTAGGAGCTTGGCCATTCACTATCGTTCTTGATGGAAAATTGGTAACTCTATCTCGTCCCATCGATATAATATGTTTTAGGAGTGTTCGGCTATATGTCATTCTTTGGTGTGACACTTGATCCGATAGTAATGTCCATTTCCATTATGTGCATCGGCTTCAGCGTCGACATACCAGCTCACGTATCGTTCCATTTTCATGCATCACGTGAGTGGACATCTTTTTCGTCGGAAATTCAGAAACTTTGAAGGGCAGGGATACGATGGTGTTGGGACAACTATCAACTGACATGCGCAGTGGACTCCACTCACGCACTAATCTTGACTCGTGAATAGAAAATGAACATTCAAAAGCAACCAAAAGTAATTCTTTCTGAAATCTAATTTTCTATTCTTAAGAAGCGCATGTTGTTCAACGGTCAACTTGTTCAACCATCACTTCCACTTCAGGAGAAGTCTCTGTTTCTGAAAAAGTGGAGGAATCAGATTTCCGGCAAAGGTGAGCGATTTTCTGTAAATGTTCGAAGACTTCGCTTCTATCTGCACAATGTGCGTAGAGTTCAGCCTTGTGAACCATAAAATTCTGATCTTGCTATCAAACGACTTTCCTTTGCTTCCAAAGAAACAACAGCTTTGCTAGAGAGTAATTAGGCTGCTTTTTCAGACTGCAGCACACTCTCTGCTCTGTGGGATTTCCAGTGATCCAGGCAGGGGTATCCACGGATCTTTGTGCACTTCCATTAGCATTCGTGCCGTTATATATGGCCCAGGTTTGTGTTTATAGTCTTTTTACTACTTTTTAATAGTTATAAGGAAGAGAGGGCTGGTGCAAGTCGGGCGACAGTGAGATTGTCTCCTTCCCTCAGGAAAAGCGATTCAAGCGCTTTAACCCGATAAAGCATATTCCAGTAATTGACTTACAGTATAGTACCAAGTAGTAGTATAGTACCAAGAAAGCCAAAAAAATCCATCATTCCTAAATAGAACCACAAGCCTGCCAATGGATATGCTCGTCAGTACTTTCATCTTCCCAATTGAGTCTGTTACCAGATAACCGACCCTGTAGGAAGAAAGTCTTGCTTGTCTTGAGCGGGCATCAGTCCGAGAATCGTGCGTGATAGTGCACCATTGGTGCTGGTCTGCCTCGGCCTTCAGGGCGTGATTGATTCGAAATGATTTTAGGTATTCTCATTGGCGATGTTGATGTGCATATCATTCTCAATGATTCATGGCATAGTAGTCCTACCTGCTATGTTCTGCCTTTACGATCGAGCATCCATTGCTACTCGGAAGTGGATCTCATCCATCCGAAGGAAATCGCGATGTGTTCCAGCATAGACTTTGGTCACTCAATTCGCCTTCGCATCTATGCGGGTCCTTTTTTCATGTGATAAGCGTAATTAACATCTCTTTTTTCATTTCTAGACAAGTCCTTCATAACAAGGTTGCAGTGGAATTCTGCATTCCTTACATCCTAGATACAATGTATCTCAATTTGGCTGTTATGATTTTTTCTTTGAATCCCAGACGGGCACAAGTTCCGAACTGTTTACACTGCACTGCTCGTAGTTGGTTTTGATCGTCCTCTATTTTGGAGCCTCCCACTAATGGGCGAGGGCCCAACCAGTAAGAAAGGCGCAGTGATTGTGGAAACTCCGCCCATGCTCCCTACATGGCACTGCAGTCTTCTCAGTGATCGTGTAAAAGCATAACTAATATCCTTTTTCGAGGCAGCTGCCAATTACCTTTTTTTTCATTAAGAGTCACCATGAATCAGTCTCACCTACTTGCCTGATGCTTAATTGTCGCTTTTACATTTTTTTCTTTGATTTTTGGAGATTTAATAAAGTTTTCGAACGCTTGAACTTTATTCACCCCTCAGAAATACAAGGCTTACCAGAAGGGTTTATAGATTGGCGTCATGGACGCATCAAGCAGCTGCAAACGCGCGCCCTCCCTACCGCACGCGTCTGCGATAGCCAAGCATTTACGATACTATGAAAAAGCCTTCCCTTTTCTGCTGTTTCGGGTATTATCGCGAGAAGGTCTCAAAATAATGGTTTCATTGGCTAACACATAGCAACGACACTCATCGACGATTTACCGACGAATGGTTGATGTACGGCGAGGACAAGGACAGTAAGCAGCATCACGTCCTGGAGCTCCTGGAGCTCCGGCTGATCCAGGAGTGCCAGGTTGCCCGTTTCCTCCATCTTTACCAGGTGGACCAGGTGGACCAGCAGGCCCAGGTGCTCCAGCTGAGCTTGAACCATCCTGAAGAAAAAACATATAAGCACTGTAATTATACTGCAGTGTATGACAGAATAAACAGACCTGTCCATTAGGTCCTGGAGCTCCAGCTGGTCCAGGAGGTCCTGCAGGCCCAGGTGAATTAGTTTGCCGTTGTCCCGGTGCACCGTCCTGTCCATCTGTTCCAGGTGCTCCTGGGTGACCATCTTGTCCTGGCGCTCCGGGAGGACCAGGTGGTCCTGCTGGGCCATCACCTCCGCCAGTTCCATCAGCACCTGGATTACCTGCTGGTCCGGGAGGTCCACCTGCTCCATCATGTCCTGGAGGTCCAGGAGGTCCAGCTGGGCATTTAATGCACTCCTTTGTCATGTCTGACCCTGCGAAGCTTTGTCCAGGCAGACCGGGGTTGCCATCTTGACCAGGACCACCGGGTTCACCATCTTCTCCGTTCAGTCCAGGTGGACCAGGAGGACCAGCAGGGCAATCGGCAGGCACTGGTGCGCATTGACATTGATCACCTAGATATAAAGGCATGAAAACAAAGCTGGGGACTTAATCGGCATTCTACTAATACTTACTGTTCTGTCTTCTAGCTCTGACAATGACATTCTCGTAGAAAACGGATCGGTCGCCCTTGTTCATCATCATCTGGCCCCACGCATCATCAGCCATCTCCTTGAAAATTAGATAATGGGCAAAATAACTCACGAGCTGAGAAGGTAATTACAATTTGTTCACCTTGAACTGCAGCAGATCCATGCGGATTTCATCCTGGAAGCTGGTGATATCATAGAACATGGCGACAGTCGAAGCGATAGCTGTCAAAGCAGCTATCACAGCTGATGCTGATACCACATGCAGTAGCGTATGCAAGTAAAGCATTACCGTATGATGGAAGGGAACACTAATCGTTGTCCATTCGATGAGCTTATATGTGCGTTCAACTAACTGGTATCCCAAATCGCGTTAGCGATATCAACCGATCTTTTACACCAAAACTGGTATTACGAGCGAACGGTCAACTCGTTGTTGTGTAGTCAGCTATGACTAATTAATTGGCCGAAGAAAGATCCAGGAGTATCTCCTGGGCAAACAACATAAAAGTTTGCTGACCAATTCCTTTTTGAAGCTGAAACCTGGTTATTTATAGTTACTGGTATATTTACATCATAACAATGCACAAAGGGTAAAACATCTGATGATAGTCGGCGACGTTTCGAGAAACACCTTACATCCGACTTCTATTCCAAAACCTCATCCTATTTGGTCCTTACATTGACTCAAGGTCAATTTGACGATATTCGGCCGCCAAAAACCTAAGTCACTGTTTCATGATGATAACGCCCTTTTGAGGACCCAACCACACTATACGAACTCCAAATTCTAGAGAAACGTTCAGGCTGATAATATCGTAGACCACCAAGTCCACCTGATGGCCCCTGTTCATATTAAGAGTAAGAAATCCAATAAATAATTTAATCTACAACATTTAATAACGCAATTGAAAAGTAATTCTCTGGAACCAATACGAATACAAACGCAAAAAAGTGTCCTAATAAATGTCAACAAAAGGCTGATGGCCTAGAATTTGGATGGCTTCTTTTTCTTTTTAGGCTGCTGTTTGGGACGCAGCTGACGTGGCCCTTCGGGCATAGTGGGCATTGGTGCTGGAGAGCTTGGAGATGCCGTAACATATTCACTAAAACACAAACTTTAGCTTACATTGTGACAATCTGATTGAAAACGAAATACTACTTACACATTAGGATTGGTTGCAGCGGAGCCTTGAGTGCCCCTACCGATATCCCTATCACGGTTCTTCTTCTGTCGCTTTTTATAAGCAGCACGCTCTTGTTTAGGTAGCCATCTGAATCGAAATAATTTTCGTGGCTGCTCTTGTAACAAAAACCTTATATCCTACTCACCTTTCAGGATCTGGTGGCACATTGGGATCATAGTTCTTCGGAAGTTTAATCTTTCTCTTGCGCTTGCGATTCTTCAACTTTCTAGTCACTATCTCCTGTAGGAGCAAACCACATACAAATTATCTGGACTTCTATTTAAATACAGCGTGACTTACAGTGTCTTCGACTTCGGACTTCGCCTCCTTTTTCTGCTTATATTTTTCGCCGTAAAGGATCCAATCGCTTTCCTCAATACCATCAACGTCCAGGCCTTCTTCTGCTGTCTCAGGAAACACCTACAGTGAAATTCCTCATCTTCAACTCAATCGAATCAAAATTAGTTGTGGAATAATTGAGATTTGCTCAGTTCGGCCGAATACAGTAGAGAAAGCTCACTTGTGCACTCAGCTGCTCGGCCTTTTTCGGATCCGAAACGGTATACGCCCGAATCAAACGACAAAGCACTTTAATGTCATTCGGATCATACCTTGAAGAGTTGTATAGACAGGAGCTAAATGCGTAGAAGTGACGTAGAGATAAGTGAAACTTACTCAACAAGCTGTTCTAAATATTTTGCTGCAGCCGCTGCATTTCCCCTCGACGATTCCAGCAAAGCTGCTTGACTGAGCATCTGCTTGCGTACGTCTGCATCCTTCATATGCCCGATTGCCTCATTCAACATCTGAAACGGCATCACTGCGACATCCAACACGAGGGGCCTAGATTTTGAAAAAAAAAACTGACAGCAGAGTGGTTATAATGAAAAACGAACCTTCAAAGCCTCGTCCTTTCGTTCCAGCGAGACCAATAAACTAACAGCAAGACTGACTACAGCAGACTGTAGCCGAACATTTGCAGGAATATTGTTCAACGCAGTAATAGCTTCATCAAGTCGACCTCAAAGCAATGTTATGTATGCATACAGAACGAGCTGGATTGCAAACAACTCGCTTATTACCGCTATTTATCATGAGATGGATACGTGTCATTTCCATTTGAAGATCGCCATTTTCGAGCATCTGAACAGACATTTGAGATCGATAAATTAAATCACTTGCCAAATCCAAAACTCCATGCTATCTTTTTTTCTGAATTCACTCGACGCAGTCTGGGAATAAGTGCAAAACCCAACACTAGATAGTGACCTAGAACAACTAACCTTGATGGCTTTTTCGAATTCATTCAGCCTGAAGCATAACGCAGCTTCAATGAGCCGAGTATCTTTTGATGCTCCAAAAACGTTGATCAGATCGTCCAAGACACGTCGACATGGCTCCCTTTGGTTTGAGTGTAACAGTACGAGAGCCTTGAATTTCACGAGTCAACTAATGTTACGAAACTTTGAAATAACTCTAAATATTTTGCCGCGTTACTGTTTTTAGAATTGAGAATAGAAATTAGAACCATAAGTCTAAACTGACATTATTCAACATAAGCGTTCGTCGTTGTCGTGTGGACAGCTTCTTCTGGTCCAATTGTAACGCAGTTTTCAGCTTTTTCCGAGAATCAGCAAGACTTTGATCCTTCATTGCGCTTGCCATGTTATTCGCCACTGTGACCATAACACTTACATCAGAGGGTCTGAAAACACAATTCCTCACAAACAGACTGGCTAGAAAATGGAATTATTTAGAATCTGGTTCAAGACACCAACTCTAACTACAAAAGAAAAAAGGTTTGAGACTAAAAGACGCATAAAATGGTTGGCTAGTATTAATGCAGAATAAAACTTAAAGAATGTACGCAGAAATTGTATAAAGTCAAAAATGTACTCTGTTCAGAGGAACGCGTGCCACAATATCTTCTTTCCTGAGTTGAAGTAAGGGGGCAATTGCTATGAATTGAAGGAAAATGGAACTATTTATCATTTCATCGGATTTGACAAAACGCTTACTTGGATGTTAAACGCGTACGACGAGGAAGGAAGTTACATGAGAAAGTTTTACAGGTTTTCGAGCGATGACATTGAATTTAGGATATATCAAATTAAGGCAACACACCCAGCCGCTTGAAGTGTTCTGTATATATCAATAGCTTCCTGTTTTCTTCCAATTTTATGTAACACAAAGGCACGTTGTACACGAAGCATAGCGAGCTCGTCCTCGATCTCTTCCTCATCCAATCCCTCGTCGCTTAGGGTATTTCGGCAAGCACCTAAAACGGTCGAGTCATTGCTTCCGGACAAAATACTTGACGATATAATCAAATACATAAAATTTTGACTTACTGATTGCCTTATCGAGGTTTGACAGAGCCTTTTCGTATTTACCAGCTTCAATAAGTTGACATGCAGTGTTGTACAACTGTTCGAAGGTTTCACTATCATCTGCAGTTTGCTAAAAAGTGATATACTATCCCGAATATAAGAATAGAGGCAATTATCATAGCTGATGGCTACAAAGTAAGTAGTTCTAAAAACTGAGCACAGTGAACAGATGAACGTATAAGAACTTATTTCTGAGTCAAAGGCAAAGAAATCTCACCTGTTTGAGGCCCATAGCCTCCAGTTGGGCTTGTACAGCAAGATAGTTCGCCTTTCGTTCATCATCGTAACTATCCGAATGATTTCTCAACAAATCACGGAAAATATCGAGCGCTTCCTGAAAGATTTGGAGATTTGTTCACAGTTTTATCATAGGCGTGACCTTGAAATCAGCGAAAGCGAACGATAAAAGTGATTGGTGGGAAGAATGAGACTGGGTAGGTGTGTTTCCAGAAAAAAAAAGAAAGGTAAAGAAAACCGTAGTGGAGCGCGATGCTTTCAAGCTCAACATAGGCACTGGAAATATATTTAGGCGCCAAGCAGAAACAATGCTTTTCCGACAACTGTTTGTGCCCCACCGTAAAAATGTAATCGAAATGCAAAAGTGAAAGGTGACAAACCTGAAACTGATCAAGGCGGTAGCAAAGTTGCGCCTTCAATTCAAGCGCTCGATGATCTTTTGGATCACAGGCTGCCAACGCTTCCAGAGCTTCGTCGTTTCTTTCGAGACGGTATAGGATATATGCTTTCTCAAAGGCGCATTCCCTGAAAAACCTCTCTTACTTTCATTCTCGAGTGACTCCTTCAATGAACACCCACCCCATTTGGTTCGGTGGCGTCTTTTTGAGCAACGTAAGGGCATCATCGTACATTGCCAATTGAATGAGGCACACGAGTTTGCATTTGAAGGCATAAAGCTCCTTTGGATAACGACGAATAACTGAAACGAGGAGATAAGTAAGAGGTTCAAAATGCTTTTTAAAACGACTCACTTCTATTAGCTGCTTGCAAAGCCTTCTGGTAGTCACCGCTTGTGTCGGCTCGAGACAAATCGGTGAGGCATTGCCGCAAGCCCCCTTCCGAGGTCATCTGAATGATAGACTTCTCGTTCAACTTGAATTTTGCACAATATTAACTACAAAGGAGCGATTCAATAGCTTTTAAAAGGAAGAACAGTGAAGAAGCGAATCCATTTGATTGACACACCACAATCTTGAAGGGACTATTTGAGAAAGTGATTGGAGCGCAATATATGCGGTGAGAACAGATCAACCGCAACTCTAAGTGCGAGAAGGGCAGGTAGGGGGAAAAAGGATTCACAGTGGACACGAGATCTTAACCTTCTAATGGTATCATCAAATTACTGATCAAAAATGTCACCCTTGGGGAAATAAGGACTGTCTAGATTCCGAAGCAATTTAGAAATTATCGCGGGTTCGTTCGACATCGGCTGCTTGGCCATATTCATTTCCAATGACTGGACTATGAATCAGAAATACCTATTTGTATGATCATTTAGCTAACTCTACAGCCAGTCGTGGACAGACAGTAACTTAAAAGATGGAAGGAGAGACCCACATTGTCCAAATTGCCCGCATACACCGTTCATCGTTAAAAACTCTGATTGTTAAATCGATAAGAGCTCTAGCATGGGGAGGAAACAGTATGAGGTAATTCGGAGCTCAGCCGTTTATTGCGAACGGAGGGCCAAAGATTGCCGCATGTGACAGCATTTTACAAGGCGCGCGGCGGCCTTCTGCCGACGTGGACGAGTTGTTGGCATGCTTCCAACGTTTGCCCGCGAACACGAAGTTTTAAAAAATCTGCTGTGACTGTTCAGTACAGGTCACTTCTAGGTCAATCTCGAGGTGGTCTTGACGGATTCTTTTTTTCTTGACCTAATACCTCATCATGTTTAGGGTTCTCAGTCTTCACTTCTGATCGCTTCATATCTGGTCTTATAGCTTTTCCTTAGTCCCACATCTTTCGCCTTTTATGGCCGTGTCCTTTGCTTTCATAAACAATGTGGTGTGATATACATATCCAAATGAATAGTTGTAAAGGCCATGCGAGTGATAGTGATAAATATGGTATCACTACTGATTGGAATGGTTTTGTGGATGGTAGGATTTATTTCCAACCTTTAACTTTTACTTGCGGAACCGTGGTCGGTCTATCTTCCGCATAGCTGAGTGTGGGAGATAGATGTTGTAAAACATTGTAATTGGGTGTGGTACAAGCTAGTGAGTAGTTGATACGTTCCCTCCGGTTCAACTGTGCATTTTGTTCATCTAAAACTGTCAATTGTTACCGTTTCATTCATTTCAGTTCCGCTGATTTCAGAAATGCCACCAAAACGATCAAGAAAGAAACCAGATGCCACGAAGACTGACTGTGGCCAAGTGAGGAACAGAAGTTATCAGACGGAAGCCGAAATCAATGAAAATGAGGGCCCAGACCACACTATTCTCCTTCACCCATCACTGAAATTGAAACAAGTACGTTCTATGTCACAACTTATTATTTTATGTAGGGTCCTTGATATTTTGGGTGGCTTTTTGAAAGGAATATCGTTGATGTATTATATTTTTTTGTAATCCAGTAAATGACGATTTTGGGTGTGTTTAAAATAGATTGATTTTTGCAGAAGTGCATTTGTTAATCTCTTACAGTCGGATCAGTTTAGGAGGAATTTTCAGATTACTGAACGCGGATGCTCAGCTGCAATGGTGGATCTCCAAGCGAGTTTTTCGAATGCATCTGATTGGCTTCATAATCAAAAATCTAAACTGAAAGAACTGATAAGGGAAACGTAAGTTCTACAACTGCTTTTTATCATGAACTAGAAAATATCAATTTTACTTAACTATTCCGACTCAGTCTGAAAACTTTGTTTAGAAGCGGAAATAAGGCAGTACCCAGAACACCACGCCGTGGCATCACGTTTACAAACTTCCGTGAAACGGTAGAACGTTATAGTCGCAGTATTTCATTGTTTGAAAACGAGGTTGATGAAGTGTGAGTTTCAAATTTGACTGTACCGGTTCAGTACCGTGCTGTGTCTGTCTGAACAACTTTATTCAGAATTGATCACAGAGGAGAAGGAGATACACCAGTCGCGAATGTAAGTGAAGATCAGTAATTGTATCTGTTCTAACGCATATTTTAAATGAGTTCAACAGAAGGAACAGGCCGCAAGCCTCATTCGAACACCTGCTACGGTAGTAAGGGAAACACATGCCGTTGAGCGAATAGAGATGGCTACTGCGATTGGTTCTACAAATAGAGAGGTCAGAAACTTACTTTTTATTGCTTTTTCTATTATCTAGAAACCAGATAGTTTTAAAATTGTCGAAATTTTGAATCGTAAGCCTTTTGGCCTCATTACTGTGAGGAAAAGTCGGTGCAGTGTATGCGATTCTTTAACCATTTAGAGAACGGGTGCAGGATTAGCTTAGGCAAGACCTTCGAGATTCTCTCTGATCATCTCTTCTACGTGTTTTCATTCTTAAGGATATCGAAATGGACGCTGAACCCGAAAGTTCCTATGAGGATGCGATATGCTCTATCAATAGAGATGATTTCAATATGGATAATGGAATAGGTCTACAACAAGGTGCACAGGTTGAACCTGTGGAAAGTTCCTTGCAGACCTTGGAATCTTTCGACACTGCTGTGGAAGGACCTATTCTCAGTCGAGATACGCCTCCGGTCAAAGTGAATGGGCATCATTCTTTATAATTAAAGGCGAATTTTGTTTCAAATGTAATTTAGACTGAGGTAATCAGCCCGGAGTCAAGGGACACTTTAGTTCCTGTTTGCTCCCAGTCACGTGCTGTTGAAACGCCTGCCACGGTTTGTTGTTATTAAGTTTCATCTTACTTTTACTGTTTGTTAATTCTTGAAAGCCTCAGAGATTGCGATTTTTCGTTCAATATTTTCTTTAGAGCCTTAATGTTAAGCGAGAAGTCCACTCGTCTCGGCAGACACCGCAAGATTCCGATGTTCCTTGCGCGACATCAACAGCAACGTGCGAAAGGGTATCCTGGAACTCTGTATTTTCTGAGTTTTATCAATTGATATTTCAATTCCCCGGACGTGGACATTTGAGAGATTACATTCATACGATGCGACTGTATCTAGGAGTCACATGAGCTCTGGGTATTTTGTGTTTTGAGAAAGATAGGAAAAGTCAAGTAAACTTGTGAAATGTGCTGACTTAGGATGAAGTATCATTCTTTTAATGGTAGTGCATAAATCATTGAATGCCTACCTAAGATGGTGCCAGCGTGTTCTAAAGTGCTTTTGTTTTTGACCCGTTCGGGGAAGTTAAGAATAAAATCGATATAATTAATTATCAATAACTATAATTATAATGTTGTTTTGAAGCCTTAACTGTTATCACAATTATTGTCTACTCCTAGCACTGATTGCATGTTGTTTAGGTGACTAGGTCGGTCGCCAAAAAGAATGCAGCTATGATTGGAGTAAGTTTTCCAACAGCTTCGATGTTTAGAATTTATTAGAGAGTGTACTATAGTGTACTATACATTCTATGTGAGTTCGATAGGATAGGCAGTTTGTGCCAGAGGCCGTGTTGGTTAATTAGAAACTAGCGAGCAAGGGAATAATGGCGGGTATGGTAATGAAATCTGAGTTCAGAGCAGAGAACGAGGACGCATACAGAAACAGCACCGTTTTTACTTAACTATCATAGATTACAGTGTGTTCCAAATATCCAATGTATTGATTTAGACCTCTGCTTCATGCACTAGAGCACGAATTATCGCAGCTGTTAAAAATAGGAAGCAAACTCCCGTTTCATCAGCCGATTCAAATGATCAGGAGTGCGTTGCTTTAGGCCTTCCATAACTTCACCGCTATTGTTTCCCTTTCCTTCAGTGAGCCGGTGCAGAATGCTACAGAATCATCAAAATCTCGAGCCCCTAAGGTTGCACATCAACATATTGTAACTACACCATGTAAACGGGAGTACAAAGCTGCCGTGCAACGAGTCATGGATGATCAGGTTTAGTTTTTTTCGAACGTTTTTTTTCTCCAGTTATGCCCAGCATCATGACCCTAGTGTAGAAAATTCGTTATGAGTTATTCGAAGGTGGTAAAAGTTTTGTGGAGAAATTAAAGCACAGTGATGCTTATATTATATTATTTGCTCGACCAACGAGAGGGCCATTTCGGGTGTGAAAGCTTTGGCGATTCAAAAAGGATGTCGTGAGGAGAGCGATGAGCTGTGACCAGTATTAACGGACTAAAACTTTAATATAGCAATTTTTTTTCGCAGGTCATTGCCCGTAATTTATCTCCGAAACGCCCAAATCTTCGCACTCCACTTCAGTCTGCAAGGGTCGCACCTATGTCTATAGTGACTGCGGTGACGAACCACAGTCAGGTGAGCATACTCAAACACTATTTTACTCAGCAACCTCGAGCACTGCTATTCCTTTTTTCTATAGTTCCTTGAATCCACTGATATTGTGTAAGAGTTTAAGGCTGTAAAGAAGAGCAAAGCTGAGGCCAAGGAGGCTTTACGTCGTGAGAAGGAAGAACTTGCTGCACAGTTGCGAGAGGAGCAGTGTAAGGAAAGGGCAGAGCGTATACGTAAGGAGCGTGAAGAGAAGGCGCTGAGGGTAAGCAAAGCTTCCAGCTTCTGTTTCCTGCCCTTATGGGCATTCCAAATACATACCGAAGTAAAAATACTCATTCGAGATATATCTTGACTACGAAATACTTTCGAGTCTCTCAGAGTAATATAAACGGTATGCACTATGATGAATGAGTTAAACTTACTATAGGAGATACAGTAGGATTAGAATGGGAGTAGTTTGTGGGACACTCTCCACCTCCAGGGTACGATAGGATTTTTCCTTGTTTTGAGTGTGTGAGCAAAATCTTTTTTTTTTCGCACAAAAATTTTACTCGATTAATGCGGCTTTTATGGATCATTCCGTCTAAACATGTTATCAAGTAAAGTATCGAAAAATTGCTCGAAAATGCCTTATGAGTGGCCGTGATGTTATTCGGGTGACACATGTGTTAGAGCTTTGTAGAGTTGAAGGGTAAGCGAACCACTTCATCGTGCAGTCTGCACAATGAGAGGATGGCGAAAGGGGAGAGGGGTTCGGAGTGAGCTGCCGCGGCGGCCAGGACGAGTTGTCGCTCTCGAAAATACCAGTATACTGGCTGCAGCTGAGCAGCTACCTTGACCATCTCTACGCGCGTACTAAATCACCCATATTTTACTTTATTATGATTCCATTCGAGCTATTTAGATGAACAAAGCATTGGAGAAAATCATATGTAATTTATTTCAGATCTATTTTATCTTTTTTTGCACTTTAAAGATTCATGTTCCTGAAGCGAATCGTTTTTTATGAAGCTATGCTCGAAAGTTTTCAACTAGATTAGCTAATTTAGGTACTGTAGAGGGATCTAGAACTGAGACAATTTGAAATAAGTTGTGATATAGTGCATTTCTTGGTTCTTCCATGCAAGAGGTAGTAAATGAAGGAATTCAGGCTCAGCGGCGACGAGAACAAAAGGAGGCTGAAGAAAGACGAAGGGCAGAAGCAAGAAAACAAAAGGAGGAAAGAGATGAGCAACGAAGGGAGGAAATACGAATACAAAAAAGTCCGGCGTGAGTTCGTTGCAATATTTTGGACATTTTTTTNTTTTTTTCGATTTTCTCCGGTGATCACTATTGCGAAACTATTCTTTCCTTTCTATTTTATTGCAGCTTACAGTTTTTTTTTTCATTCAAGTTTCTCATTAGTATATGTAGCTCAAACTGTGTCATTGTTTAGCATTCTATATTAAACTATGGTAGGTTTTTATTTGTTGTGTCATCGTTTATATTGAATTGTTTCCTTTTCAAGAAGAAGCAAAGCCCCATCTCGTGTTGTTAGTCCTGCCAGGGTGCCCAAAAAGTTACTAAACAACGATGTTCGCCCTACCGCAAAGGTATGCTTTTGTTATTGGTTAAAATATGTTCTATATTTTAATACGAAGGATTTGAGATGCTCTTCCCCACTACACCTGGACGTGCCCCGTCGAAAGTTGCAAGGATTGCGGTAGATGGAGGTGAAACTTCGAGGGAACCAACCATGAATACTGTAAGATATTTGCAAGCTTGGTATGAGCAGGAATCAATATTTATTAACGATTTGCACCTAATAGGCTGAATTTGATTAGGATTTTAATGAAAGCACCAGCATTGGTGCACAAAGGGAATTGTGTTTTCTTCGGAACTCGTGCAAGTATGAAAATAAATGGGGTAGTCTCATTGGTAGTATAAAAACTCTCTTGACCTTTTCTATTTGCGTTCCCATGATTTTCCTCCTATTCTGCGTTGCAGCACAATTTCAATGAATCTTCCTTGGCTACTTCGATCCCATCAGTATTGCTTCTTTGTTGTGAGCGCACACTTCACAAAGAGATTAGTCCTCTCCTTTTTCTCTCTTATATGTTAATCTTTTCTCCATTCTTTCACATTATATGTCTCGCTTGTAACAAGATTGTTGTTTTAAGTCCGTACAACAACATGTGTTTGATTATAACCCCGAATTGAATTTGTTATCTGTTATTTCAAAAGTCTAGCTCGCTGTAACGCCAGAAAGCGCGCCAAAAATTTTTGGTAGTGAGCTTTTAGCCGGCTTTCTTTATAGAGTAAGCTAATGTTGCTGATTTTTAAGCCTACTCGTGAAGTCCGGCGGAAACCGTGCTCAGCTGCAAAAGGTGGAGTGAGAAGCGACGACACCTCAGATGATGAATCGGTACGTATCGCTTCACACAACATGAATAGTTGGAGATGAAATCGATCTGATTCTAGTTTTTTGATTATCTTGAACCTGTTTTAGATATCTCCTCGCCTTGCAATGAAGAGACTCGAAATAACGAGGGAAGAGCGTCAGAGAATAATGAGGGAGGAGCACGATCGTCAGGAGAGGTTCCTTAGAATCTTCATTGTCTGACCGTTGTTGCTCTTGCTGTTCTTTTTTCAAATTGCTTTTCAGACTGCGAGAAGAGGAAAGACGTCGGCTTCGATTGGATACTGATGGAAGGCAGCGCTATCCAACTTCTGGGCATGGTTATGTGAAAATGGAAATAGATGAAGTGCACAATAATGTAGAAGAACAACAACGAGTTGCTTCAGAGGACTTAGAAAGGAAACGTATGCTGGAAGTAGAAAAGCAACTGGAGAAACGGCGAGTTGAAGAAGAAATGGAGCGCGAAAGGTTGAGAATCGAGCAGGAACAGAAGGAACGAGAACAGCGAGAAGCTTTTTTGAGAGAGCAGGAGTCGGAGAGGCAAAAATTGATAGCTATCCAAAAGAAAGAGGCTCAAAAATTGCTGGAAGAGCAAGCTAGCAGGGTAGCGGAGCAAGAAGAGAGACTTTTAAGGGAAGCTCAGGAAGAGCAGAAGAGAAGGCTTCGTGAAGAACAAGAAGAGGCTTTGAAGCGTCTCAATATAAGTTCATCAGCTGAGCTTCACAATCGCCATCTTGAAAACGTCAGCTTAAACGTGAGTTCCAATCAAGTGAAGTGGTCGGGTTCTATAGTGCTTTGGACGAGAAATCATTTCAGAAGAGAGATCAGATGCAAATTCTGCATTTGTCGAAGCCAAAATGTGTAAAAACGCTTACGCGCTAATTTTCCTTTCAGACACCCGCCGCCCCAATGCAGACAGGGTCCCGTCACAATTCATATGAGATGACTCCTGATAAAGTGTTCAAACCGTCCACCGAGAACAACTACAACATTGAAGATCTGTCGAGTGCGGATGAAACCGACGATGAGGTGTGTATTCCACTTTCAAAAGACCTTTCTCTTTTTCCAATGAAAATTTCAGGAAGCACCTCGCAAAGAAGTTCCGCCATGGGCCGAAGGCCTTCTTCTCCAAAAGGCTATCGAGGAGACGACTAAGATTCTCAGATCAGGCACCTTTGATCCAGATACCTTTTTCCGTGAAATCTTCCCCGTATGTTTTATTTCAAAATGTTTCAGAAATTTCTCATAAACTCTTTCAAAACCGCATACTTCTCATTTTTAGCCCGATCTTTCAAAAATTTTCGGAACGTCAAAGAAGTTTCCACGACGAGGTTCTTCAGGAATTTGGGATTCTCCCATTGGTAAACCACGTCAAGGAGTAGGAGCATATCGGAAGAGGTTTAATCCGAGGAGTTAGCGTGCTTTGAGTGGCCTCAATTAGGAAAGCAAGCTGGGGTAGTAGATTCGTCCTTTCCCTTCAGCACTTATTCTCAGTAAGGATTCCTGGGCACACACAACGGCATAATTTAAAAGTGAAGCAGTTCAAGCCGTTGTGCGTGACCAGGTGGGATTTGATGTTCAAAATCTTAGGTCAATAACGTGCACCATGTATTAATTAATGCTAATGTCGTATTATTGATTGATTGTTGTGGAAATTTGCAAAGTTTGTATTTAAAATAAAAGATTTGAAAAGTGTTGTCAGTGTTTAATGTAGGTTGCTTGCTACCTTGTCAATACCAAAGCATTTTCTTTGTTTTTCTTGCCCTTTCATTCGTTTTTTGAGGTTATGGTTACAGTTACTATTTGGTGGGTTGGGCTGTTATGCCAGAAGAACGAACTGTTAAGTTTACCGTTAAGCCTATCGGACGCTCCTATACTTCTCATAGGTGGGGTTTCCAGATGTATTTAGATTTCTACTTTCCTACTTGTTTAAATTTATTTGATCATTCTCAATCTTTGACTAAATTAGTTATGAGATGATGCACAAATCAAACATTTAAATTATTACTCATTTGGGTGCTGTGCTCTTTTCTTTTATGCATTGCATCTGCCTGAAAGCTCGTGGAGAACACTGATCGAGAGAACGTTGATATCTCAGTCAGTACTTACAATTAGTCTAATTTTGTGTTCCCAAACTGTTCAGGAACTGAGCCTTATGTGACCGACAAAACCACGCAATCCAAATTTTCCACTGATTTAGTTGAACTAATTCGTTTTTGTATCCGATGTAATTGAAAAACATTTTGCAGTTGACAATTTAGGTTTTGGTATGCGATCACCCTACCTTTTCGACGAACTGTTCCCGCAGTTGCGCTTGCTACGCTGTTTTGGACGGTTGTGTACAATGTTGGTGTTCGGTAAGTGGGTATCTAGTATATATCTCCTCCGTAAAGAAATTTAAAGCACTTAGGGGTACTTTTCATTGGACGACTTTGACTTACTAAACTTTTTAATTGGGAGACCAAAACGGTTTGTGGAACAGTTGTTCTTGTTGCAATGTCAGATGTCTTGTGTCATACTGTTCCCTTTTTCTTGAGGTACTGGAAAGGACCTGATCATCCTGTGAATCGTTTTCGATGGAGAAGGATGAAGAAAGAAGGGCTTCTGTCGGACGAATTGTTAGAGAAGGAAAGAGTGGTACTAGATTATCATAAGTCACGGATTCTCGATCCTCCACCTGGGCCCTGTACCCATGATCTTTACAATTACAATAAATCCCCACTTTAAGTAAGGGTCCATCTGCAGCTCGGCTATTCATCGATGGTTTCCTATGAGTGGTAAATAGAAGGATGTTAGTATAGAAAGGTTTAGATTATCTAGGCGGTCTTCAGCTGAAAAGTAGTTGGAAAGTAGTTTTGATTATCGTCCACGATTCGCGAACATGTCATGGCCCGACTTAAGCTCTCAGCTTTTCATGTATTTGAGTATAGGAAAGCCGGTTATTTCTGTTGCGAACGCTGTACTTTGGAAATCAGTAGGACGAGGCGAATCGGTGTTCAGGTTAATGACAGTTCAGTAGAATCATAGGTATAGTTTATATTTATTCCATCTGTATAAATGAAGCTTAATACATTGATTAGCATTCATTGAACACAAGAGATGTTTATGCAAAGTTTATTGTACTACTCCGCGAAAAGCCTACTCATCGTTTGTACTGTGGTGGGCATAAGTACGTAATTTATTTATTTTTGAATTTTATTTCCTTTTTTTCCTAAGTTTTCCCAGTTCGCCATGACTCGTGTTCTTATTTTTGTTGTAGTCTTAAATGTTTCAGGTTGATGTGGTAGCCATTTTGCTGCCATTAGCCCTGAAAATATTCTGTCTTCATAAATATTTACGAAATTTGTGCTATGATCACATGATGGTGCGTTTTAGGATAATCATCATTATGAAATTCATTATTGGAGGTTGTAGGGTAAACCTTGAGAAGAAGTCATCTACATCCTTCTGTTTTCTTTCCATTTCGAGTCATATGGGTTCCGCTGCAATGGTCCGTTGATGTGGTTTCAGGAATTTCAGGAAATACCCTCGAAGTTGCAAATCGACGCCTATCACGGGTCACGCAGTGTTTTCCAGTTGGTGGTGCGTTGGCGTCAAGATTGGCAGCGGCGGTGTGCCTCTTCGATGGTCCTCAGGGAGTACTTCCGGGATCCCGCCTCGTCGCTAGTCCGCTATTTTCATAACTTGCTTGCCTCGAAATTTTCATTGATTTCTCACTGTCGCATACTAGTCTATTTTCAGTAACAGTAATAAGTAAAGTAGCAGAGCATGCATACAGGCTCTCGTCTGACGATCGTATTCATCTAGGCTTTGACGCCTAGATATTTACTACTGCGGTGGCCTTTGGTAATTTATTAATAACATAAACTCGGTCTTCTGGCGTTAAAACCCCGCGCTCAATCCAGGGTTGCGCCACGCCATTCCATTTACGAGTGTAATAGTTTTGGAAGCTCATATAACCGAATCTTAGCAGTTTCTTTCCTTCACAAGAATCGAAGACCTGTTGAACCTAGATTGTTTGGATCCCCTGGCGTACTAAATAACTGTCCAACTTCTCATTATCTCTATTCTGAGGTTTTTTTTGAGTGGTAAAATAGATTTTATAAAGAGTTAGAGAAAAACGAAAACTGTTTTTTCATTGTGAAATACAGAACATTTCAAATTAAACATGAGAATTGAACCAAAAGAAAGATCCTTATAGTTTAGTGGCCGGCCAGAGGTGATCTCAGTGGTTCAGCTGGAACTTGATTAGTTTGTGTCCCTTCTCCCTCAGTAACTGAATTGAGGGCAGCTTTTAGTCTCAGTTGTCTTCATTAACCCGTGTTTAGTAGTCAATATACTACTAGTTAGTAGTACTAGTTATCGATGGATCTTCTCTTAGCAGCGAACACTAATCAACTAGTGCTGATCATTAAATAGTAGCAAAATTAGCGAATTAGTATTACTTGCGGAAGTTGAGTTCTCTACGCCTATATAATGTCTGATTAGTCGAAGTCACCATCCTGCCTTATTGAGGATAATTCTACCAAAAATGGTGGTCGTCCACTCGCTTCAGCCCTCTTGACTGGGAATTTCTCGTGATAATCGGTCAGCTTCCTAAGAGCCATTGCCTATGCTAGGATATTGAAATGATTTGATCAGCCTACCCTGCACTACTTACTGTAGTAATATGATTCACTCAGGACCTCTTCAGAGCAGGCATCCAAACCTGGTTTATACTTTCACCGTAGTGTAAACATACATCCGAGGCTGAGATTTCGAATGGAAGCTAAATAGGTGGGAACATCCAGAAGAGAGCGGACTGATTGATGAACGCCAAGCGATTCATCCTTTATCCTTTTATGTGACGGCGTCATGCCGTTCCAAGTCGACCATCAACAATTTAACGCGATTTCGAAGGGATGTATGATGCCTACGTCAGTCAGCAGCCATCTTGAGATTGACAGACAGATACTTGGCATGTGATAGAGTGAGATAAAGCTCGTAACCGAAAAGGAACCAAGACGCTGAAGGTGAAGTGATTGCTCAGTTCAGTACTGAATAAGTCGCTTACCGAATTTTGCTCTACGATATCCAGAAGTCATCATGCTAGCAAATCGTCTTCGAGTTTTTTTCGGGCAATTCTCACCTGGCTAGCCAGCTAATTTCTGTGATGGAGGCCGTGAAGAAACTTGAGGGGGTGATTTTTTCTATTTTTCGGCAAGAAAGAATGGATCAAATACAGTACACTGTCCAGAAAAAAAGGAAAGACATACTGGGCAAGAATCAATCGCTTTTAATCAGGACGGGAATGGGGTGTATAGAAGGTCAAGAAGCGTTTTTATCTAATGAATTACTTTTGTAACTGTCGAAGGTTTTTATCGGGATTATCCCTAGAAAGCTGATTGCGAGTTTGCACTGTAGATCATCTTAATTGCTTGGGGCCTCTGAAGAAGTCTGCCACGTCAAAAAATTTTTTCTCCAAATTTTTTACCATAATCTTCAAAATTGTCAGGGTTCCCTTTTTCACCGGCGGTTCCTAATCTTCAGCGGCTTTACATCTTTATCGAGTTATGAGATAGCTAAGGGAGGTCGGCTGCCTGCTAGGGAACAATCTGAGTAACTGAGGATTAAGTGGTGACTGCTACCTGGGACCCTGCTTGAGCATTGTATAGTTGTCAATTTGCAAAATTCTGACCCACGATCGACGCTCAAAAAGACATTACTCGAGAAAATCTGGATTTGCAGGAAACCTGCTGAGTAGGTGGGTGGAGAATCGATAAGTGACGTGGTTAAAGAGGTTTATTAGTTACTCGATAGGCCTAAAAATCAGGAAATGACGCCTCCATAGGACGACCGCCTCCTACGAATGAAGTGCTTACCCTGGAGAATCGTCGCTATTTTTAGTTGAAAATGTGCTGCTAATGTGAAATGAAAATTTCGTGTTACTACCCACATTTTCACGTTTTTCTTCACAAAATGTCTCGAAACCATAACAAAAAATTTTCATTTCCACGGTTCTCGATTGCTTTTTTTTTGGATTTTTTTCTCCCGGTTCCTTCTAGTATCTAATCTGTCAATTCTGTAGACCATAACGTTTCAGGGGAATAGGAGCAGTAGCTATAGGAGAAGCTGAGAATGCGGGACCCTTCAGTAGACACCTTCTCTTGCTTTTCGTCTTTTTTGCTCTCTCTTGACCATGTTGCTCATTCTTGAGGCTCCTCTACCTGCAAGCGTATCTATGGGCTTCAGGAATTCGCTTATACAAAATAGATCTATTTCAAAATAAGCAATTAAAAACCTGCGATCAGCACGGAGGAAACTGCGGAGGCAAGCGAACGCTGAAATTTTGTTTTTGCATAATCATTTCCATTGATTTTTTTTTGTTGATAATGTTATTCACGTAAATCCTACTCTGAGGCACCCGTTCTCCCCCCCTCCCGTAGGATTGTGTGGGGGATGAAATCTCCAGTACCTTACCACTGAGTTTTTTCATTCTTATGAAAACTCGAGCTGATGATCGAGCTTGAAGCTTCAACGTGGCACGCTATCTGGCCATGCCCCTTCATTCCTACAGTATTAAGTTCTAGAGGCACGTCAAACGTCCTTAAGATCTTGTGATGAGGGCGTCTGAGTATAATTAATAGGTTCTTTTTAAGATTGTGAAGATCTCAGCAACTAAAGGGCGGAAATCAGACAGATTCATTGACTTACCCTTTTTTGAGCGAAATCCTCCTGCAGGACTTGCCAGTGAATGAAGATCCCTCCCAGTGAAGGGCAAGGCAATGAATCTGGCACTGAACAGCATCATAGTTGGTGGCATGTGAGTCCATATATCTGGAATTCGAAAAAAAGCCAGTCGTCCCAACTCAGCCTTTGAGAGCAGGCAAGCCTGAGTGAGTTATGCACTTTTATAACATAAACATACTTCATTTTCCCATGGGATATCGAAGTGATTCACGGACACAAGAGTTATGGGAGAAAGAAGTGGTTCCTACTGGGTAGACATAATATTTCATTCCTTATCTCCATTTTTTTGGGGTAAATATTGTCGCCAATAAAAAAGATCCATGGAAAGATATGTAGAGCAATTCCAGTACGGATTTGGGATCACAACTGTTCCCATGTGCCCCCTGTCCACATCCCATTTCTTTTTTCCGTTTACTCAATTTGCTCACTTTTTCTTTCCCATATCCTCTCCTTTCCATTCTTTGTACGTATACTATATCGATGCATCTCTCTTGCTTTATCCTTTGCTGGATAGGTTTTGCTCAAGGGGTGGATTTTAGCTATTAAAAGTTAGGGTGATATCGAATTTCTTCCCAGTTGCGTCTTTTCGACTTTCCCCAGATAATCAGTATAAGTCCTCTATTCACCCGACTCCACTTATTTGCTATTTCCTTCTTTTGGCAATGGTCTGAAATACAAGAATTTCCCAACAGGACCCATCTCCATCAAAAGCAGCTTTTGTTGGCATGTGGATCGTGGTAATCATCCATAGTCCTGCAGCGTCCTGTTGATTCATCGCTCCCATCGCTTTCAATCGGTCTCTTCTTCCCAAGCTTTCATATTATTTTTAAGACAAATTTTATGTTTGTACTTATGCTTATAAGTGTAAAAGCATCAATTTTCTCCTTTCTTGCAGGGATAGAGCTGAAGGGGGACCTTCAAAGGGCTTTCAGACCGAAAATGGGATACTAGGAAGAATAAATCCTGGGCCCAACCGCAGCTAATTATATGGCGTCCACTCTGAAGTCCATAGGTCCGTTGATTCATGCAAGTCACGGTATACTATATGATCAGACCCCCACTCAAAAGTTCTTTCAGCTCTGGATGTGCCGCTATTGCATGGCGCATCCTAGGATAAGGCTCGCTAGGGTCGTTTTCCTTCAGTGATGGTAGATGAGCAGGCATACCACTCAGTCTTCAGCTTATTTACCGCTCCAGTGTTGGAGTACCCTAAATTTGACTCGCTTCCGTTACCGTAACCTGATTTCCGGACCTAAAAAACATCTGCTTTTCAACAACCTCAGTTATACCGCTTTCGTTACACATAAGCCACATTTCAAACAGCTTCGTGAGCTACTACAGTTGGTGTTCAGTAAAATCTTTAGGATTCCTGCTCCGACAAGCGCGGATGGCATTCTACTTTGCGTTATTGAACGTTTCGGCCAAAAGGGATGATCGAAGTGCTTCGACGTCATCTTACCGTCAAAAGCATCGTCGACACAGTATAGCGTCGGTCGAAAGTCCAGTTCTTGACTATCGACTGTTACCTAAGTACGTTAAATTTTTGGTTCCTTCTTTCCTTGACTGTTCGGATCCATTGGCTGCCATGTCTCTTGCTCAATTTTCAGGCCTCAAGTGGTTCGTAATGACTTTTACCGTGATGAAGCGGGGAGCAGTAATCGACGTGATAATCCTAAGCAAAAGCAGCGAGCTCCAGCTCACAATCGTAGTGCATCGTCATCGCGAACGGCAATGGAGCCGACATCATCGTCGTCCCATCGGAGCCGTGATGGACGGCGGAGTGGAGCGAAAGCCCAGAAAGAGCGGAATCAGTCAAAGGGAATGCGGAAGTCTGACAGCAGCCACTTGGAGGCATCAAAACGACCGAAACAAAAGACTGGTAATGGTCACAACTACGAGAGACAGAGAAGAGCTGCGGATCAGGAGATACTTGAAAGGGAATTTTGTGAAATGCAAATGGCCTCCTCGTCGAAGAGAACAACGACGGCTGAGGCAGGACCTAGGACTATGAACGGTTCAGCCGAATGGGAAGAGCCGCGAATTGTTGAGAATCCAGCAAAAGCTGAATTCGAGAGAAGGTGGCGGGGTCAGAGGCCTATCGTTGTCAAAAGAAGGGTCTCACCTCAGGAGAGCTCAACGAGTGACAGTCGACGATCGAGTAATCAGAGTAACCGCAGTCCACAACGGAATGATAGCCTTGGTTGGTACATCGCCTTTAAGCTTTTATTCAGAAAGACTCCTAATATTACTTTTATGAAACTTTGGGCTTTTCAGCGTCGTCTACGTCATCACGACATACTAACGAAGCCATCCTCGAAGTAACATCACCTTTGGGCCAGTCAAACAGTGATCCCCACAAAGTTTGTTCTACCTTTAGCTTTATTGTTTCATAATCAGACATACTCCGGAGGATCAGAGCTGCAAAGGAATTCCCATCTGGAACAGTTGGTGTTTTTGGAGTTATCAGGGAATTTGTTCAACGACATGAGGGCAAAAAGGACTCATCTCATAGATCCCATCCATACTTCAAGCTAGACTCCTTGGGCTTCGTTTTTGTTCACACTTCTGAGAAATTTTGTTGAGAAAGCGAAAAAAGGTTTCGAAATTCTACACTTTTACTAGTTTGAAAAAGTAAATTTCTAGAAATTTAGAGGAAATGATAGTATTTTTGAGATATTAAAAAATTGATTTTCAGATATCAAACTCATCAATGCCATCACGTATGTGCGATTTGCCACGTTCAGTCACTTTGAAGAAAGTCACGTTCGAAAACGATACCTCACAGTATCTCGTCAATAGGTCTTTTTTAGGTAAGTCATGCTTTTCTATCGTCACAGTCAATGAAAGATACTTTTGAAATGACCCAAAGTTAAGTGAGGTACTACCATACTGGTATGAGACGGCAACTGCAGTAATAGCGATACCTTCCCATACCCCTGAAGGCCCCACGAAAAGCTGGAAAGATTATGGAGTGCGGAGTGCTTTGGCCATTCTAGAAAAGGATTTGCCAGCGTTGAAGACGTTATTCCTGACCCCTTATCTAAAGGAGCAGTCAGACCAAACTCATTTCGGCGATGAATTGAAGAAATGGAGTTTTAGAACTAAAAATGAACAGCAAGAATGACGACAGTTAAAAAAACCTGGAGGAAACTAATTTTCGCACTATTTTTTTCTAAATGGTTTTTTAAGGCGATCGCAGAGTGCTGGTTCGCCGCGGCAGTGGGTCTGCGATTCTCCCACGTTCCATCACCCAAATATTCGCACCCACCGTATCGACGACACTCCGTCCGTTCGCCGAAGGAGTAAGTGCTCTTCAATCTGAAAAGTTTTCTCCGAATACACCAGTATAGCGAATCATATGTACTATTATATAATACAAACATCAACTGCCTGCCGCTGAACCCAGCAGAGAAAGGGTTACATTGTAATAAGTTAAGATATCTTGTGATAAGTTATGTTCCGTTTACGGAATCCTACTAGATGTTGAAACTCTAAAACAATACTTTCACTAGGTTGGCGATTTATTGACAAAACTTCAATGTCGGGCGGGGCTCGAACCCATACTTGTGCTTTCTGGGCACCATGCTCTATCCCCCACACTATCAAGATCCCCCTGCGCTTCAACCTTAGCTAGCTCTTCCGCACTGCCTTCTGAAAGCGGGAAAGCTTGACAGTTTTGAAGAAATTGCCGTTATTGACCCATGTAAGTGGTCGCCTGTAGATTTGCCTAGTATAAATGCAGCGTGAACACCGCCGTGCACTTTAAGTTCAGAAGGCAATCCGTCACTTTTACATTCCAAGAAAACCTATAAGTGCAAGCATTGCACTTCTACGTTTTCACGGAATGCTGCACACATACGTGCTGATCTTCTCCTTTGTTACCGAGTTCACCATGTATCATTTTCCATTGAGCTTTCCACCAATCTGGCCTAAATAGCTTCAATATTTCTAGTTGATATCTGAGGAACGCTGGTAATTGTGGGCAGGCTAAATCCTGAAGAAAAGGAGGGAAATATGTCTATCATGAACCGAATTTCAGACAGCAGCCTTGGCAGGTCTAGCATTTGGTGCTGCCTTATGGGAGCCCCTCAAAGGAGAGCCAGAAGGAACACCCAGCAAGCAGAACGTTACTAATGATGCTATCGAGCAAACTATTGGGTGAGTTTCACTAAGAGACGATTCACTCGAAGTGCCCATTCTGGGTGTGTCTTAAGGTAGTGTGGCGAATTTACCGAGCCTACTAAACAGCACATGTGATGCTGCTAGTCGTTAAGTAAACAAAACCTCATTCCATCTGAGCTGTGCCACTACTGGACATGAAGTTTCGATTAATTGCAGGCCGCAGCCTGTTCGAAGTCTTTTAAGACGTCGATCGACATCCGATCGGCATGTCGTCTTTGGTTTTCAGAATGAAGGATTCCTTCTGACAAATGATGAGACACCAGAAGCCGGTGAGTCGTTTCTCTGTGAAAACACAGATCCAGCCCCATTCCTAGCTCCACTACTTTTCAGATATGACCAGAACCGCTTCCGGGGCCACGCTGGTTCCATTCGCTGGATGATTTCTTCGCAATCACGTCATCTACAGACCATCCCAAAATGGGAATTGTGCTCACGACTTCATTTATTGTCATTGTTGAATGTGAAAGTGACACTTTGCTGCGATCTTATTGTAAAATCCCGCCTACGCGTCAAAACCACGCCCACTGTTGTATAACCGACCCTCATGATATCGTCATTAAAAGATGCTATACAGTGCTTGAAATCGATTTTGTTTTAAGGAACCGATAAGTATACTATGAAGCGGGTGCTGCTATAAGTGACACCTGATGTTGTTTTCCCTGTGATTCACTGAGATTACTGTATTTTTCTCGAGTATTCTATGAATAAACATTTCATTTGGGAATTCTACGGCTTTTCGCTGGAGAGATGTAAAAAACGAAGATGATCGATGTTGGCCTTTTTGAGGGGTTCACCCAACCACATCAACCTATGGAACTCCTACGAATGAGCTGAAGTATACGCAGTTGACATTTCAGCTGCTTTGGATTCATGGATCGATATGCACCTAATGCATTAGCAAATCCATGATCCGAAATTCCTTGTTTCATCGTCACTTCGTCATCCTAGATGGTTACTCCACAATGAAGTCCTGGCTTGGATGAAGACCGAACTTTGTGACACACCTGTTAGCTTGCCTTACATGAATATGATCGTAAGCTCTGAGCCTCACATATCAATATGGTATAATGCTTAAAGGCACCGCAGTTTGCCTCTCCAACGAGCCTTCTGAGCAGTTGGTCAAAATGTAGCTATCAAAATGTTACCTAGTCTAGGTCCAGGTAATAAGCAGTTATTCTTACTGGTAAAGCTGAAAATCCTTTTGCCGTTAGGTGTTGAGCTTTTTCTGGCTTTTTCCTCCTATTTTTTCTAGAATATGTAACAAAGGAGATGGCAATCGAAATGGGAAGGTTCCCAGTCGGCCATCATTCAAACGACTCCCAGAAGGACTTAGCCACTAATCCAAAAACGGCCACGCTATTGATTCTTCTAGCATCTGTTCCTCATCTAAATCTGCCTACACACTTCTTCACTGCTCAATGAGGAGGATAGCGCTAAATGGAGTACTCGTTTTTACAGCCCTACTGCCTTTCGTGTTACCGAGTTTCGACGAGTATCGACTCTTGCAGTATCTTAAAGAGGTAATCTCTCGACTTCTCTGGTCTCCTACACTCATATTTTTGAAGTTATATCAATTAGTTCATGATTTAGTCGAGAATGACTTAAGAATACTATCTAGATCCTTTTATGTTTTCGAATATAATCCTGAGTGTTCATGAACTCTTTGGCTTTTTTCAAAAAACACCGAGTCTTTTTGTTATTTTTGTTTAATTGCTAAGCAAGTCCTATATGACTTTGTTACAGAACTATGATCACTTTGAACGACCGGTAGAGAACAGCTCACACGCACTTGACGTGAAAGTGCGATTTCTTCTCAACCAGATCCTTGACGTGGTTAGTTCGCAGCCCACTATTTTTGAATTGGAAACATTCTTGGAATTGAGATTCAAGGGTGCTTCAAGGATGTCATGTAAAGTCTACAGAGCCTATTTTCAGGACGAAAAGAACCAAGTGATGTCAATTCTTGCATATATCGACTTTGTAAGTACTTGACTTTTTATTATTTTTAAGTTCAACGTCACAGTTCCGCTTTATTTGCTTATTGATGTAGTTTCAAGTCTGAAGTGCATGGCGCAAATTGACAGTTACTGTCCATCACTGTGCCATTAGATACTCGTACATAATTAAGTTCGTCTATTGAAGCACTGGAACGATTATAAACTGCGATGGGATCCGAGAATGTTTGGTGGTATCAGAGACGTACGATTTGCCGGTGAACAGGATGCACCATTCAAGTTATGGCGACCAGATGTACTGTTATTTAACAGGTACTGTGGTAGTAGGGTACAGCAATCTGCATTTTTTGAGCATTTCTTCTCGGGACATGCCATATGGGAACTACTCAGTCGACTGCCATTTGAAGAAGTCATGGCACTAGAAAAATCGTTTGGCCAATAAAACATCTTACAAGGCCCAGCTAATAGTCGACAGTTTTTGATGGATGATAAGCCCAGTGATCTTCAGGGGTTTAGTCTAGTTGATATATAAGTGCAGTAACAGGCCGACTGTCACTGTCCTATCTAATTTTAAAGCAGTATCAGCTCCACAACGAAAAAAATAGGATGGATATTTGAATGGCATTTTTGTTTCGTTTTTTGAAATTTGTTTTCAATTTGTTGTTCATTTTTGATGTCCCACAAGCCACTTTCAGTGTATCAGAGGCATTCGATTCCACATATTCATCTCGTTTTATCGTCAACTACGATGGCGAAATTCAACAAAATCCTCCTGGCATTTTTAGATTCATATGTAAAGTGAGTTATTTCATGTGTTACTTCTTAAATTCATACAGTATCTATCGGAAAAAAAGAAATCCATGGGGTCAAGGGCAGTAAAAATAGGAATTTTCCAATAATGTCAGTGCTGTTTTATTTGTTGAATAGTTGTTGTTGAAAAGAAGTTGTACATATAAACAACTTGAGAAATAATGAAAAAAATAAGTCATTACTGGCTTGTAGTATAGTTCTGCATTCTAAATCCCACAGCTACTTATGAGAAAACCCCTTTTTCCAGGTTGATGTCACTTATTATCCATTCGATACGCAGATGTGTTTTTTGAAGTTGGGGAGTTGGACTTATAGTGGTCGATATATTAACCTGGATTTTATGCTCACACAAATTACAGGTAAGTTCACAGCAAAACCTACTAAAATGCCAAATTGCTTAAAAAAATCCTTTTCAAAAGAGATAGTCAAAGTTTCACAGCTGAAAACTATAAAAAAGATAGAAATCGATTGAATTGGTTAAGGAGTAAAGGGCTATTCGGTGATGGCCACCACTTATCCATATGGTGACAATCCAGACAGCTACAAACTCAATGAATCGATCGATTTACAAGTATATCTACAAAATGGCGAATGGGATTTGATAAGTTCGTCGTATTCTGAAGAGAGTTTTGTATGAGATCTCGATGATCTTCTTCAGGTACTCCTGGAACACGAGTGGTTACCGTGTTCGGTGAGGAGTCCTACCACGAGCTTTATTACTATATCCACATCCGAAGGCGAACGCTGGCTTATGGTATCAATCTGATAATTCCTTCGTTGGTGATATCGATGATGACAGTGCTGGGATTCACACTGCCACCAGATGCATGCGAAAAGATTACCTTGGGTAAGTGCTCGATGCAAGATCTTTTAGATGCAAGATCCGCGAACCGATCCCGTTCTGCCAACCCAAGCTGTCCAGAGCTCTCAAATTTTAGCTGATTTATGTTGACCCCGTTCGAGACGAACTAACCATCCACCTGGGTTGCTTTCTTGATGGATACCAAACGATTCGAATGCCATAAAAATTCCGAAACAAAGTGGGCTACGCGGCGTACCCCAAAAAAAAAACAAAAACTGGGAGCTGGGCATATTGTTTTATTTACTCTTTGGCGGATATTCGGAGCTTCCAAAATCGGTCTGAATAGGTCAAAGCATACATCTCCGAGGGCAGCAGGCCTAGCTAACTCTAGACCCCATCTGAAGGAACCAATGTTGTGGTACCATGTACGTTCTGACTGTCCGGCTTCCTACAGATGAGTAACCTTCCATGTTTTCAGAAACAACCGTGCTGTTGTCGGTGATTTTCTTCCTACAAATGGTATCCAATATGAGTCCACCGCAATCGAAATCCGTTCCAATACTTGGTGAGTTCTGCCACAAGCCAGAGAGGCCAGAGCAGACCAGTACTGTCAAGGCCGACTAGTATTCGTTGCTTTTTAGCCGCATTCTTCTCATGTTGTCTGATGGTGGTAGCATGCTCCTGCGTGTTCACCGTACTCACAATCTGCCTTCATCGTAGAAAAGCTGAAACACACGAAATGAGTCCACTGGTAAGTTTTCAGCCAGGTTGCTTCATCCTGAAGACAGGGGAGGAGNTAAAATTCCTATTCTCCCCTATTATCCCTAGACCATCCTCGGCTCCTTACAGATGACAAAAAGCTTTCTTGGATTTTGGAGGGGAGAAGCATGTTCTGGGCTCGACCTGAGCCGGTTCAGCTTATAAGCACTCTACTATTAGCTATACCCAAGTGAAAAGCTCCTTATGCTGCCGTTAGTCTCGGAATAAGTGAGAGTCTCTTAACTGGCTCCCTGCCCGATTCAGATGCGCCGTGTCTTTGTCGAATGGCTACCATACATTCTTATGATGCGGACACCGGATCACCCAAGAGCCCCGAAACCAAAGGTAAGCGGTACAGTTTCCGAAAAGTGAATCCGAACGAAAACTTTTATTTCAGGTAATTGACAAAACTATTCTACCCGTTCATCGACTAAGCACTTTGCCAATTCTTAGTCTACCTCGACCATCCACTGTTAACACTGTAATACAGCGAACTTCATCCAAAAAATCTGGCAAGTTTGAATCAAGTAGTCTTAAAGGCAGTGTTTTATCATGTCCTACTGATTGCGATGAATCAGAACCCAAAGAAACCATATCATGTGATAATTCTGAGATAAGTTTAATATTTTCAGAAAAGCGACCGTCTTATTTAACTTATTTTGATCAATTTTGCGATGAGTTGGAAGTAGTCAGCTCAAATTTGGAAAAAATGGCGTCAACACTTAAGGATATCTACGCTCATGAGAAAGTAAGTCGTTGAGATGTTTCATTGCAGGGTACATAGCGAGACGACTGTCTGGTGCAACCATCTATGACATGGAAAGCTCCGAGACAACTAACTAACAACCGCCACATGTCATTCGGGACTCTTCCTATACACCATAGGAATAAATTGTGGGGCGAGGTTCTACAACTAGCACTTACCCCTAGTCCGAACTATCTTTTCATCAAGTTGGAGCTGCTCGAAAATTCTGAATTCACCTCGACCATCCACTGTGAATTGTGTTTTACCAGTCCTTCTCTTGTGCAATTTCTGCTACAATCCTAATTTTTACTTGTAGATTACTTCCGAATGGCGATTTGCTGCGATGGCAGTGGATCGGATGTGTCTTTATCTGTTTTCCATATTCATTGCCGTTTCCACTTGCGGTATCATTATGCCACACATTATCATGTAAGCTTATCACCGACAATGGTTCTCCACTACTNGAAAATTCTGAATTCACCTCGACCATCCACTGTGAATTGTGTTTTACCAGTCCTTCTCTTGTGCAGTTTCTGCGACAATCCTAATTTTTACTTGTAGATTACTTCCGAATGGCGGTTTGCAGCGATGGCAGTGGATCGGATGTGTCTCTATCTGTTCTCCATATTTATTGCCGTTTCCACTTGCGGTATCATTATGCCACACATTATCATGTAAGCTTATCACCGACAATGGTTCTCCACTACTTCGGCTAATGTCAATTTTCTTTTCAGGGGACTTCGGGATACCCCTTGATGGAGAGGAGTAGAAGCATCGAACATGGCTCAATTTATTTTTCTTCAAATATCAGAATAAATTATACGTATTGTTTGTGTATTTGACCGGCGGAGCCTATGGGGCTTCAAAGTCGATAGTCGAAAGTCGTCGGTCGGAAGGATCTGGAAAGAGCCTAAAGAGCATAGTAATTCCGTCGTATTTACGCTGTATGACCAACCTGCACTTTTAATCGCGTCTGTCTTAACAGCCTTGAAATTTCCTAAAATTTTCTTCGAAAATATTTGTCACGGGTGAATAAGCTTAGGATGATGGGATCCATCACCAAAATCATGCGAATGTCTATAGAAGCCATTTTTGGAAGCTCATTAATACATTAACAATCAAACTGACTGGTTATGGGAAGGGAAAAGAATGTTCATAGCAGTTCCTGTAAAAAGTAGTCATGCGAACGGCTCACGAACCTGCCATCATGCTATCAATTTACGTGACCATTTCTTTCGTGTCTGTTTTCATTTTCCTCCATTTTCACATCAAAATCTTTCCTTGAACGCTATCAAGTTGATGTTTACCTATAATGTTCTTTCATTACTATCTGCATTCTTTCATTCTTCATTACTCAGTACTGAGCATTTTTAATGGTTTGAGGACCTAGCGCTAAGTCAGATCGACTTTTTTGGCTAAGATTTTTTGAACAAGTACTCTTTTTTGCTTCTTTTCAAAGTAATCCATGAAAATTGAAATTTTCCAAGCTCGAAAAATCGTAAAAATTAAGAGAGAGTGCTCACAGAAGATCGTCATAATGGAATTATTAAATAGTAAAAGATACCCGTGGAACTGGGAAGAACTCGAATATTTCAGTCGTTAAGGGATCAATAAGTCCAAAAAGATGAAAAATTGAGCTAAACAAAATGAAAAAATGTTTTTTTACTTATCTGAGTTTACGTGGTCAAATTGTCCGTGACAGAGTATGGAATTGGTTTTTGGGGATTCTCTGAGCTGGAGGCATTATAGCAGAGGGAGAATCCTAAACGCGAGATCTGAGGTGTTTATTGAGGATAAACAGGGTGTGGATGTCGATCACTAAGTATCAATAAAAATCACCACATGTTTACTGAACATGTGATCGTTGTTATTTTGTAACAACGACCACATTCCGTTGTTCGCTGGTAAACGCCTGCTTGTCGCTTCAGCTCGATTTCCGGTCTCCACACTTACTATTTCCTGTTGGTACTTGTCGCGACTGCCTTTCAATTGCCACTTTTCCTCCCATATAGGAGACTTTCAATCTTCTAGGGAGTTCAGTTCACGTTCTAAATCTACGACATCTGGAGTGCTGTCTACATATATAAAATTTCCAGAAATCCCCCAAACAGGCTTGATCTTTTATACCTTTCCAGTGGTAGTATGTGGTTTACTTCCAGCTGGAGCAAAACATTTTGCACCTTGCGTATCATCTTCCACAAAAGAGTGCAAAATTTGAGAATTATTCGGTAAAGGGCCAGACTGCAACCATTCATTTATTAAAGAGTAAACGCTTAAATGAACATTGATTTATTCCTATTCAACATTGCTATCAAAGCAATTTTACGCCTCAGATTCTTTGTAGGCCTCCATTCTAGAGGCTCTGGCTAGAGCTATCGCCGCGATCGAAGTCATTAGCAGGTTTTCTCTCTGAGTGAAACCGTTGATGACGATCCCAAGAGAACTTTGAGACCAAGAGTTGCGTAGAAATTGGTTCGCAAGGAGAAGGAGATTGAGTGTGAACCAATCTGGAACGTTTCTGGGATGCGCCTCGTCTTTTGCTGCAGTCCAAAATATGGTAGTATTGAATGGTTTGCTGGGAAAGTTGATACGTCATCAGGTAACTTCACCTTTGAGGCAAGTCACTAGTCATCATTGGGGATAGGAAGGGGGGGGGGGGGGGGGGGGNGGGCAGACTTTGAAAAAATTGTCCTAGGCCACTAAGCGATAGTAAATACCATTTCGCTATTTTGGCTCCAACTTATATTTTTACTGTACTGACAGCAGATAGATAAACAAGTAAACAAAGGAGCAGAAATACGTTTCCACTTATAAATTCCTCCTCAGTAGCAGGGAGTGATGAGTTGCTCCGTTCCGCTGACCTAATCCGAGCTGGTGAGAGGTGATAAAAAGTGATAAACCATAATGATAACATTAACAGTCTACCCTCAATCTTTGTTCTGGGTTTGCAGTCGATTTTACTGTAAACAACGAGTATCTGGAAACACCCAAAAGCACTGAACAGCAATCCGAGGTTCCCCGTCAGCTGAAGATCAACATTTATCAGAGCACCTGATCGATGCTGTCATAACAAGCCCACACGGTTCTACAACATTTGTTAACACATCGTTGACCAGAGCTATTGATTGTATTGACTCTGAAAATTCCCTATATTCTTTGTTTTAAAACTATTATTTAATGATTACTATTCCTATTTATTTTAGAACCTTATTTCAAAATTCAATACCTCGTCTTCTCGAAGCAGTGGCTAGAAAGGCTTTTTGTTGCTTGCACGCTCTCTGGTATCAAGTTCAATCTGGCTAATTGGACCTTCCAGCGGTTTGATTATCCTTTGTAGGGATTGATCTCCCTATAGATCTTCAAAAATCAGAGGGGTCTTCTGAAGTTTGAAAGACAGCTTTTGCCACTGAATCGATGAGGACAATGATGAATGATTCATGTCTATCACCATTAAACTTTAATAGTTCCGACATTCCTCCATTTTCTTTGTCATTTATTCGTTGCAGTTCATAAACCATCGTCGTCCACACATCTGTTCATCAGAAATGTTTTTCTTCCCATGTTACTTGTTTACATCAGCTGTTTACAATGCTGCCCTGCACATCTGTTGATTTCTTGAGACTATTTTCAGCATTTTTCCTTCTAATAGGATGTTACAAATTTCATCCCATGAGAGCAAGAGAACTCTATTCTTTACTGGTACAAGTGAACTAGCGGTAATATCGGAAATCACTTTGAAATTATACGATATTTTGGATAATAAGCTGTACCGCTTAATTTCTTACTTTTTGAGGCTTTTTAGAGTTTTGTGTATTTCTTATTCGTATTTGTATTGTTCGAAACACTTGAGGACAGAAGGTTAGCACTTTGTAGCAACAATCAATCCCGTCTGGGGGATGCGCCCACGCATTCGGCTTCCGTTCAAAATCATATGGCGTATTGAATGCGTATTTGCTCGATACAATGACTTGTGGAGGCCAGCTGATGTATCAGACAGTGTTTTTATCCTCCCAGACGAGTCTGAGAATAATTAATCGACCCCAGAGAATTGGAACGTTTTGTTTTCCTCGTCGAATTTCGAACCGAGAACTGATCTTGTGGACCTTGCTGGTGTGTGATGGTGGGCAACTTACATTATACCATATCCGCTTTTCAAATCTATGTGAAAAACTCATCCAATCGATGTAAGTTCTGAATGAGAGGTAATGAAGGAGGGGCAAGTGTTCAATGTTGACCAATTGGTCGGAAATTTATTGAAATCTATTTTTGTTTTTGTTTCGGTGCTACAATACTTTCCTGCTTCCACAATCAGCTGAACAAGTAATGCTTGAACCGCTGGCTAATCTACGAGGCTCTAGGAATTGTTTGTCTTTTAGCTGGTAATGTTTTACTATTTTGCATTCGGAATATTGTTTGTGAATTGTTCCTTGGATATCCGAGTTTATCATGGCTATACTGAGGTTTCACTTCGATATATTATTATTTTTACGAATTGAATTATTGCCTTAATAACATCACCGCTGTCTATAAATCCCGTTTGGGACGCGCCATGCATCCAGCGCCATTCAAAAATGCCTTGGAATCAGGATGTGAGTTTGAGGGAGGAAGGCATTACTGGAACACGGGGTCCCTACAAAACGTGCCAAGTCAACGCCTCCTTAATAGGTAGCCTCAGATGAAGTTCTTACTTTGTTATTCCTTTGCATGATGTCCAGGGAGACATTGTTGTTCGAGCTTTCTACGAAATCCTCCTCCAGAGCACCGCCTTCGTTTACTCTACCACTTTAGCCCCCATAAGCAGCCTTGTACCCTGCCCTGCCTTCCTGGTGACGCTTTGTTTTGGCGTATTCGCTTCAGAACGTAATCAATTCACGATTAGTCAACTATATAAGCACATCAAATATTAACATGGCCAATGCCGTTCAACTGCTATATGGCAGCGTCCACCCGAAAAAAAACGGCCATTTTCGTCTACCATTTGAGCCAAGCTTCTCATCTGATTCATGCCATATTTACTAATCCGGAACCTTCCTAACTTTTAAAAAGCTCCGTTGATGGTCTTCCCTAGAGAGAATCATACCGGAAGGCTATTTTTAATTTGAAATCAAGCTGGTTTACATGGCTACGGCAGAAATATCGGTACCTATCCTTCTCAGACAACACAATGTTAAATCATCCGATGCTTTTAACTTTTATTACAAGTTTTTTGATATCCCGAATTTGGATATACCAAGTGGAACATATAACTGCTCACAATACGTTCAGCACATTGTTGGAGATAAGTATAACTCACAATGCTACGAATAAACATAGTTCCATAGATACGAGCGTTAAGAATTCATTGATTGCTTTCTTCTGAAATTTCAATCTGACCGTTGGTGGGTATGAAATTAATAAAAATCAGATACATTAAATCACAACCACTATCGGCGGTCTGAGCAGCTCAGATTTTGCCGGTGATCATAATGGAGCCCTAGAACATTTGCGTAGAAGATCCATGCTAGAAACTTTCATATTTCTTCTCTATATGATGTTTTATTTATTATTTTGCTTGGAAAGTTCTGTTTCACCTGAGATTTTGTCTCTCCGAAAATCTACTTTTCAAGTAAATTATTCCAATATGAACTACGATGAATCCTACCCTAGAGGTCGCATTTTCTGTGATAGCGCACTTACGAGTGTATCTAATAAATAAATAAGTTCCTAACACAAACGTACTAAGGTTCCTCATAAAAAAATTCCAAAACTTCAAATTGGAAAAAATCACATTCAAACCTCCTCTTTTTTCCAGAATTTCTATCTAAGAGCCTTTATTACTTCAAATTACCTTCTCGTTTGTTATTTAGCTATCTATATTCCTGTAACGTGGTGAAATCCCTTGAAAAAGACCTTTTTACGGGATTTCTGGTGGTGTGTTTACGACCATTGTAATTGGTCTTCGTTCAGTCAGCGTACTTAGCGTACACCTCGTGTAAGACGTTGGCGTTAATGGTCACTGGGGAGCGACGGAGCACCACCTGGGATCTCTTCAGTCTTCCTGGACTCTTTCGCACTTTACCCAAGTAGAATGAGATGGCGGGCGAGGGTGCAAAGCTGAATGAATGCCCATACGGCGGCATTCGCCATAAATGGACGTTGTTTCCGCTTTCATTTCGATGTGCCAACGGCAATTCATGCTATTCTCCCTGGCCAATAGCATCCTTTACTTTTTAGCTCCAATTTTTGTTTTCTGCATTTTTTGTAGTGTTAGTTTTTTGTGTGAGTTATTTTTTGTACGGATGATTCCACATGTGTGCATAATTGAATGATTCGCAAGTCAAAACACTTCAATAACTTGATGGAACTCACTCATAAATAAATCTAAGCGATTGCATTTGTTCACATACACGGTTTTCCTCAAATACTTCCTTGTGGGGTTCCAGTAAAGCCCCCTGGACAAATGTATTTGTTACTATGTATAGTATGAGATTAACAAGTAATTCTAGAACTCATAGTCTACAATTCCTCTTTTGTTTTAACCTCGGCATTGCCGTTTACGTTGTTGAACTCTTCTGTCGTTGGAGGTTTTTAGGTACGACTTAACTTAACGGCCTAACTTTCCGATTTAATCCTCGTCTTAAGAGGCCAGTCTCCAACGTCGTAGCGAATAGAATCCGCTGTCGCCGCAGGCGACTGTCAGTAGCGAATTTATAGAAGTCTTAAGTTTCTATGGGAACTTGGATCTACATGTCACAATCTTATTGTTAACGACTTTTCTGAGACATGCCCATTTTTTCCCAGCTCCTGCAAGTCCTCTGTTACTACCCTCAGGTCCAATAACTGGTTTAAGAGGGAGTCTCATATCTCGGACCGAGAGCAAAAGCCTGTTCTAACGTCCAGAGCCTTTTCACGGAATGTCGTTTATCACATCGAAGTGAAAGAGAGTGGTGAGTGCTGTCGATGTGTCTTTTTTCAGAAACGCCTACTTTACAAATGTTCCACATCTCTCATACGTGACCTGACCGTGCCAGGAATGCTTCCTGATCTGGTGAAATTGCTACTATTCGCTTTAATTCAAGCTGCTGAAGGGGTAAGCGACGAAACTCTTGAACAACACCTCATTAAATGTCTAATTAAGAAAGAGCTGTGTTCAGGCGCTACTACGAATTAACAAGTGGTACGAGCTCCCAATGGTAGCGGGCCAACGAGCAGTACTCGACTTCAATCTCTATTTGACTTGCGAGAGGTAGGGTAATAGTTTTAGAGTTTTCTAGACATTTTTTACAGTACTTCGCGGTCAATGAGTAAATTTCAGTCTAGAAAGGCAGAAATTGAACCCTTTCTCTAGCCAAAAAATATGTTAAAAGGGTTATTTGGCAGTAAACAGTTGTAATTTTGGTTTGTATTAGACTGTTACAGATTCTCGCTGATATTCGCGAGTGATATCGACGACTTGAATCGTCTCACATTCTTGTTCGATGGAGAGGTTAGCTTTCTTTAGATCGCAATAGCTCCTACTTTACTGTCAACCAATCAGTGTCATCAGATGGCCACCGGTTTTTGATGGAAGTTTTTTGCTTGAAACTTTTGACGGATTTGATTGAATTTGCTTTTTAGGGGCCTCTAATAGCAAATGAAGGAGGTTTAATGCTCCTGACTGAATTGAGCTCCGTCTAATAACAAAACAAAACCGGTTAGATTGATTGCATAGTACTTTCCTAAACGAAGAAATGCTGGCTTTGACACTGTCCAATCACCATAAATCATTCTTAAGATAGTTCACGTTTCTGAGCAAAAACAAAACGCATGGCGTACTCTGACGTTTCCACTTTACCCTTCTCTCTAACTTCTTGTTTGGCATCTATGTACCTGGAAACCGGTCCGAATTTCCATAGATTATCGTGGAAAAATATTACTATGAAACAATATCTTATTGATTGCTACTTACCTATGTACCTCCCTACCAACCTATACCAAGGCGACAGCAGCAGTCTCGTATTTGATTTTACGACCACTAAACAGTGGAATTGAAAGCAAATGAACCCGATGTTTTGCTGCAGCCAGCACTGCAATTCAAGATGAGGGCATTTCAGAGCCTCCCACACAGTAGTTAATCAAGTCTGCAGTAATACAGACCGTTGTCAAGTTGAATGAGTCCACAAAAACTCCACATGAGTAAAGGAGGATTCAGAACGACATTCAGTACTTAGTTTCAGGATTTACGTAAAGTTGATGTCGATTCGCCTGACTACGTCACCGTGCCTTCACCTCCACCTGTAATCGGTGGCTGTCGAGAGACCGACTTCAAAGCTCTTCAAGTAAACGTGAGCTTATCACCTTCTCAATATCCAAAAACGAACTTCTAATCAAGTTGACTTACTTTTTATTTATTGATTTATTTATTTATTTGATAACACCCAAAATGTGTCACGTAACTATCCCTACTGAAAATTTCTATTAGTTGTCTAGATTTTTAGCTTGTGCTGAGCTCTGTACCCATAAATTAACGAGCTCATTTTACCGAAGTAATTATTATGAAATGAAAAGAGGGTGAGAATTTCCACTTCAGATTTACCTAGGCTACCAAGGATACCACGGGGTAACCTTCGAAGGTGGAAGTTTTTAACTCTAATTTAATAAATCGCAAACGATACTGCACACACCTGTCGTTCAGGTGAGCTTCCGAGAGCATACGATTGAAGTCCAAATAGGTCGTCAAGTAGCAATTCGACCAAAGAGCAACACATCTGAAATTATGCGGGTGAGTACGTCCATTACCTATGATGTAAGCTGAAAATCTACTGTATCTTTATAGTTACTCCTACCTCAGAAAGGTGCCTGCTGTCTGGTCAGTGGTGCCTTGATGCTTGGCAATGAGTCATTGACAGAATCCATTCTCTTCGATTCTGATGGTGCGTTCCGTCTACTGATCGGTAAAACTTGACAAATGACTTAACTTCCCTGTACTCATTGACTTTCCGGGGTTGTACGGGACTTTTATTCGTTCTGGGAAACGTTAGAGATCATAGCGTCCATGCGACTGTCGATAAATCGCGGCATTCTTCCTTTAGTTTTGAAGTTTACTCGGAGGTTAGAGACTATTTTGCTACTGTTCAGAGCGTTCTTCGAGGGAATAGTTATGGGTATGGGGTCTTATAGGTCCCAGAGTCATCGAATGAGAATTTCTCTATAAAAGCAAAACTTCCAAGTTAGGGAGTCAACCTCTGACTGAGGTGCAGATAACAGAATTACTCCCTGAGTTTAGGGTTGGTCCGGTCCCTACCATAATGAGCATCCTTTCTAAATTACCTCTTCGCTGACCCAATCAAACTCAGACTGCCCTACCCGCTTGGTTCATGAGGTGTAGCTCTATACGGAGAATTTTTAGATATTCGAGAAGCAAATTTTTCGAAGCAGCCCTTCACTCCAACGGCGTCTACCCCATCGTATAATACCAAGCATCGAGCCCTTCTGGTAGACATGCGTATTCCGCCGTCAACAAAGCCCACTCGTGCCCCTGACGTCCGACAGCTTTCTTGGTGAGGTACCCCCTTTTGGAAATCGAACTCTACACTTACAAATAGCGCTTGCAGGACTGAAATGGTGAATCGCGAGTGGTCGGTCTCATTTTTGGTCTGCTCAATTTCTGTTTCGGTTGTGATGGTTGTTATGGTTACCCTTGGCATTGTAATATTTCTTTATGTACAAATCAAACCTCCCCCATCAAAAAGATGCCATCTGATTGAGGAATATTGATGTTGTAGATTTTGATTGCTGAACCCCGGAAGGCATTAATCAACGCCGAGATGATGGGATTCTGGAATTGCATGGATTTGTGCCGTTAGGTCCGGTTGTGAGGCACGACTTTGATTTGAAGTCAACCTTCAGACTGTGCTAATCTCGACATCTTGACAAAGTACCTACAGAGTTCTGGATCCACCGTTTTGAACAGCATAGGTGATCCCCACCTATTAGCTTCACACCTCATAGCAAACAAGTGGGAATTCTCACCTTGAGCTCTGCTTTTGTCGTAACTAGGCAAAAAATGGTGGAAAATGGTACCCTAACAAGCTGGCTTAAAGGCTAGAGCCTCTCAAAATCAATATCGATTGATGACGCGCAAAATCAATACCCATTCATGAGCACCTTGACTTGTAACAGTTGACCATGGATAGGAATGAATCCCCATCTACTACATGAAAAAAATCTCTTTCGGAACTGGACAGCGGAAACGGACATGGCCAGTGAGATCATAATATTGATGTCTATTCATGTGTTTGGAAAAGTGGTTGTCTTCAATCCTTTTACCAGCGGATTTTTTCCAATTTTGTGATTTTTTTTACATAATTTCAATTTCTGTGATGGGAAGTAAGTTCTTGTTCATATTGAAAACAGTGAGAAGTATTAAATACCATAATTCCCCATGATCATTTCTTATCGATTTTCACTTCGTTTCAGGGCCATCTTTTGAATTATACCCTGTAGACCCTTTGTTGTTGTTGTAAATATTAAAATATTCCATCAATCTTAAAATTAGCCCTTTCAACAGATGTATTTGCAAATGCATGTTGTACATTTTTATTGTCATTATTTAGTCTATTTTGTTTGAAAATTAATAAATTTTGACCAGTACATCCCTTTTGGTACACGGAGAAAAGTAAAGAACTGTCATCAGTGAATTATGAAGAGAATTGCTAGTAGTGATTTCCATACTCTTAACGGCGATTGGTGACCACTGGATCAGAGATCTGATGGAATAGATCCTTCCGGTTCTCAGCAAGTTCTACCTATTGAGTTCCCACGAGGACTGACGCCTACGTCTATGCATAAGCTCCTTACTGTAGGCCCCCAATAGGGGCGGAAGAAATGAAATGAACAAAAAGTCCGGGTCGTGGCTCCTCCTCTCCTTTCAATATCTTATCAATCAATTGTCAAACAGGTTTGATACGGTACAAAGTAACTCCCCGCTAGATGCCTTCCTATTTCCTCATTTCCATTTCATTGATGTTGCTTGCGGTGACTGTGGCTCTCATTCTATCGGTACCTGGCACAGTTGGTTGCTTGGTTTTCATCTTATTTGTATTTCTTCTTTATTCATAGGGCTCTTGCCTTAGATCCTCGGTTTCGTCCAAGGTTCTGATACTTCCTTGTATTCCACCCTTTTGTATTTTGTTGAATGTTTATCTGGGAATAAAAGGAGATGTTCGTTTGCAGAGTAAAAGAAGCAGGGCAGATATAGCTGATGAAGCGCTCGATGAGAGTGCGCCAGCAGAACGTCAGAAGGCTACTATACATTTCCATAGAGGCGCTGCTTTGAAAGCACCTCCGAATCGTGGCAGACCCCCTCATAAACCTGATAGACCAGTACCTCCCTATAAACTTACAAGACCATTACCTTCTTTCAAACCAGCTTCCCCAAGACCGCTACCCCCTCATCATCCTGGCTCTCCTGGACCCATTCCTCCTCAAAAGCCTAGTTCATCGAACCCGGTGCCCTCTCAGAAGCCGGATCCATTGCACTCCAACAAGCCTCCACCAGTACCCTCATCTTCTGAAGAAACTACTAAACGAGTCCCGACACCTACAGTACCTAGAGAAGAGACAGCAGTATCGGGAACTGTACCATCACCCGAAGTCACCCAGAAAACTGATTCTGCTACTCCAACATCAAAAAAACCTCCAGAAGGACCATACAAGCCTGTGATAGTAGGGCGAGAAAGGCAGCCTATTCACACAGTTCCACCTCCACCCGATATTTGGAAGAAGTTGGAAATAGGTAGAGAAGTCAGGAGGTACTGGGAATTGGAATGGTCAAAAAGTACATTTTCCAAAGAGTGTTCGGAACACGTTTTACAGGTTGGTAGAATCAATACCAATCGATAATTGCCCTGTTTTATTGATTTTTTTTAGGTGGTGCCATTGTACTTCTGGCCAGGTGAGCGACTGGATCTCCCATGCCACATGTGTGAACTATCAATGGCCTACAATGGGAAGGTAAAATATTGGGCAAAAGCCGAAAAACTGGAAGAATTCCTCACAGAACCTCAGGTTAAATTAATTGAACCCTTAATTGCCTTGGGCACCCAAAAAACCCGTAATTTCAAAATTTCAGATCAATGTGCTGTCAAGAAAAGACCTCTACTCAATTGTTCAAGATAATATTCATTCTACAGCTCCTGGGTGAGGCCTTGGGACTTCTGTGGGGGCCCCTTTGATTTCAAATATTTGCTCTTCTAAACCTCTTTGTAGCGGAACTGAGTTCAAGCCTTTCAATATGGTCCACATTCCGGGTAATCCCGAAGGCACACCTCCTACAATGCCAACGCCAATGTTCTATCAAAGAAATGGAAAGCTGTCAATAATTCATGTAGGTTTTAAAATTAATTTTCTAAACTTGCTACTGCCTTCTTGAACAAGCTGGCTACCGTAATACCTTGGAGTGAATCGCTTACAAAACTGCAATTCGGGAGTAAAGGGGCGTGGTCAAAAATTACTTTGTTCACAAAGGGTTTGGAAGTGTTTGGATGCAACAAGAAGGTTGGAGCTGACGCTGCTCCATCCGTTTATACTTCCATACTACCTTCCATATTTTCAGGCCAATCCAAGTAATCAAGGAGTATATTTCTGCTATGATGAGCTATCAATTGGCATAACCAATCTATTCTATGTGGTACAAGCAATGACTCCACCGGTGTCCATTTTCGACAGTGATCGTATACCAGAAGAAGAAATGCATCTTTTTGGTAAACCCGCTCATTATCCAAGCATTATGGCCGCAGAATTTTTATTTCCAGATGATTTTTGTAGCACTAAAGACGGTTCTGTTCAAATTTCTCCGGCTATCAATTGGCGTTTTCACTTTCAACCAACATTTCGTGATGATAAACCTGAACATTGTACTAAAGGAACGGTTTGTGAGGACTATCAGGTATTGCACGTTCTTAATTTGGGGTCCGGGGCTTTGGCGAGCTCATTAGGAATTACCTTTTACTAAAGAGATCCTGTTTCCTCTAGGAAGGGAGCTGTCAGATCAGGAGTTCACCTTTCCTTGGCTGGAGTGAGCCATGCTGCCATCCTCCAGCCGAATTTCTCTTCCAGTACTAGGAGGGCCTTTGAGAGGTCCAACAATCAGCCAACTGTTGGTAGGACTCGGTATAACAATTGGTTGATCGTTGGTGCTCTTCGGGACCCTCTTGGAGACAACAGACGAGCAAGTTTTGTCCCAAAAAGCTAGTCAATCTTTCCAGGAAATGACCGGATCCATGTGGCGGTCCGACAACGAGACCTGCACACTGGACGGATGCAGGTGGAACCGTCGAAGACCTTCAGGGGTATACATCTTGTGGCATGAAATAATCTTTTAGAGTCAGTATTCCACCGATTCAAATGCAAAACTCACAATTCGATCCTGGCCTCGATATTGAACTACGATGGGAAGACTGGTCTAGCTGTGATGGGAATGTGCCCGCTCAAAGACGGGAAGGTGAGCGAAGCAATTTCCAGCCTTGGAAGAAGCACTCGCATCGAGCGCTGTGTCAAACCTTGGCTATTCTAGCTCACTGCTACATTGTGACTCAGCCAGGATTCACCGTAGACGAAGATGCTGAAGAACTCGCTTCTGGAATTCTCGAGTTTGAATGGGCAGTGAAGCTCGGCCAACTGTTACGATCAGAGGGAATGAGGAATTACGGTGTACGACTTCACAGGTACGACTTGGCCACATTCTAAGAACCTTTCGTGAACCGAACTTTAGTCCCAGAACGTTCATAAGTTGATGGACTTAGGTAGACAGTCCCACTATCCTTCGTTTGTTCCAAGAATCCAGTTCTTTCAGTTCCACAGTAGCAGCCTATCTGTACCGTCAAACTGTTCTGCAGGGATGTGGCACCGTTGAGGAAGGAGTACGCATTGCTGTAAGTTGATTCTGAAAAATT